GGGATCGAACTCAGGACCTTGCACTTGCAAGGCAGGTGCTGGAACCACTGAGCTAAATCCCCGGTCCTAGAGTATATATTTTTAAAAATTATAAATAAAGAAGGAAAAGATAATCCATTGGGAAAATAGGGAAACGAAATGGAAGGACACTCACAGAAAAGAAAACCAAGCTAGGTATGGAGCAGCATGCCTGTAATCCTAGCCAGTGAGGAGGCTGAGGCAGGAGGGTTACAAGTTGGAGGCCAACCTGAACAGTTTAGCAAGAGCCTGCCTCAAATTAAAAATAAAAATAAGCAGGGCCAGGGATTTAGCTCAGTGGTTTCGCCGCCTGCTGCGCAAGCGCAAGGACCTGAGTTCGATCCCCGGTACCAAAAAATAAAAATAAAAATAAGGGGGGCCGGGCATTTAGCTCAGTGGTTCTCCCACCTGCCTTGCAAGTGCAAGGACCCGAGTTCGATCCCCGGTACCAAAATAAATAAATAAATAAATAAAAATTAAAATAAGGGGGCTGGGGATTTAGCTCAGTGGTGCCACCATCTGCCTTGCAGCCCTAAGGTCCCAAATTAGATCCCTGGTACCAAAAATAAATAAAAAATAAATAAAAATAAGGGCTGGAAATGTAGCTCAGCACTTCCTCGGTTCAGGTTGAATCTCTGGTACTGAAGAAGAGAGAGAGAGAAAGAAAAAGAGAGGGAGGGAGGGAGGAAGAGAGAGAGCAAGAAATTAAGAAAAGAAGATTAAATAAAGAAAGAAAGAAAAGAAGATAAAATCAAAGGTGCCTGGGCACATGCCTATAATCCCAGCACTCTAGGAGGCTGAGGTAGGAAGATCACAAGTTTGAGCCCAGTCTGGGCAATTTAGCAATTTAGGGAGACCCTGCCTCAAAATAAAAAAGAGCTGGTAATGTAGCTCAGGGTGAAGGTCTTGGGTTCAAACTGCAGTGCAAAAAAAAAAAAAATCATTCTCCTCACAGTCAGTAACATGCATGTTAAAATCACAGAGAGATGAGATGAACTATGTACCCACCAGAATGACTAAAATTAACTGATAACACCAGGTGCTGAGGACATAGAACAGCTGGAACTCTCACGCCTTGCCGGTGGTACTGTACTTGAGACAACCCACTTGGAAAATAATTTGGCAGGTTTTAGGAAAGCTAAATACACACTTGACTGTATAAACCAGCCATTCCACTCTGAGGTATTTACTGAAAGGGTACAAAAACCTGTATTCAGAAAGTGTTGTGTACACAAATGTTCATAGAAGCTTCCTTTGTAGTAGCCAAATACTGGAAAGAACCCACATGTCCAACTACCACTGAATGAATAAAGAATAGGAGATCTGCAGAATGGAATATTACTCAGCAATAAAAAGCAACAAACTATTGGTAAATGTTAACAACATGGATGAACCTCAAAAACATTGTGAGCAAAAGAAGCCTTAAAGAAGAGTACTGTATAATTCCATTTCTATGAAATTCTAGAACAAGTGAAATCATTCTATACCAATAGAAAGCAGGTAAATGGTTGTCTGGGGTTGGAGTGGAGTAGACATTGGCAGCAGAGGGAAGAAACTCTATTGGGGTGAGAGTAAGGCTTTGTATTTTGATTGTGTAGTGGTTATGTAAATATATATTTGTCAAAAATCAAAGTTCCCGGTCTCTCTCTCTCTCTCTCTCTGTACTGGGGGTTGAACCTAGGGCCTTCACACAGAGCTACATCCCTAGCCTTATATTTTGTTTTGTTTGTTTGTTATTAAGTTGTCCAGGCTGGCCTTGAACTTGAGATCCTCTTTGCTCAGTGTCCTCAGCCGCTGGGATTACAGGTGTGCACCACTGTGCGTGACTAAGCTTTTTAAAAACTTTTTTATTTTTGATACCGGGGATCGAACTCAGGTTCTTGTGCTTGCGCAGCAGGTGGCAAAACCACTGAGCTAAATCCCCAGCCCTGACTAAGCTTTTTTTTGAGACAAGGTCTTGCTATGTAGTTGAGGGTGGTCTTGAACTCAATATGTAGCCTAGGCTGGGCTTGAACTCACGGCAATCCTCCTGCCTCAGCCTCCCAAGTACTGGGATCACAGGCCTGTGCCACCACACCTGTCCAAACTATTCTTAAAATGAGTAGTTCTGTGCTCATAAATTATACCGCAACAGGGCTGGGGATTTAGCTCAGTGGTGCCACCGCCTGCCTGGCAAGCACAAGGTCCCAAGTTTGATTCCCAGTACCAAAAAAAAAAAAAAAACAGAGTTAGTGGCTGTTTCCCGTGAGTTGAAGATGTTCAAAACTGCAGTCTACCAATTCCATCCCTAGATATACACTGTGACCTACAGAAACTCTCACAGATGTGTACCAGCGACATAAACTGACCATAGCATTACTTATGATAGGAAGAAACCAGAAATAATCTCAATAGAGGTCAGTAGGAAGGTAGGTTGATAACCTTTGGTGTAGCCACCAGAGCAAACCAGAAGAGTGTATTCAAATTGGGTGGACATCAGAAATAAAATATTGAGTGACAAAAGCAAGGCAGAATGGTCCATGTGTGATGATACCATGCCTCATTTATGTGAATTAGAGCCATAGAAGGAAACACCATGAATTGTTTATAGATGTGTGCATGTGTGGGTACAAGTATAAAAACAGAACCAGAAGGAGCAACACCAGACTGGTGACAGTGGTCGCCTTGGGGAATGCAGGAGCACAGGGGAGGTGAGTCTTACTTAAAGGAATTGGCTTTATTAATAATGTCTTTTTTTTCCTATGTGGTGCTGGAGACAAACCCAGGGCCTCAAGGCAAGTGCTCTACCACAGAGCTACATCCGCAACCTGGTTATGTCCTACTTCTTTTATTTAGATTTGGGAAGAACATTGACAAAAGTAGATTTTAAAATATTTTTAGTATTTCTCCTAGTAAGTTTTTGGAAAGGATAGTCTTCTGGTGATTATCAGAGAAGAACCTGGTGAAGAGTATTGTTGTAGGCCAGAGATGGTGGAGCATGCCTATAACCCTTGCTACTTGGGAGACTGAGGCAGGAGAACCACAAGTTCAAGCCCAGCCCAGGCAACTCAGTGACTTAGTGAGATCCTGTCTCAAAATACCAAATAAAGAAGGGCTGAGGATGTAGCTCAGTGTAGAGGCCCTGAGTTCAATCTCCAGTACTAGGGGGAAAAAAAAAAAGACATTAGAGCAAGGACATTAGGCCCAGGCAAATAGCGCATTGCTTTTCTCTTTGCATTAGGGCCTTGGTGAAGGTGCTGTAAGGTCACCCTGCTGACCACTGCCATGAGTGTCCTCTTTCTCTCTTTCAGGGTAAAGGCCCCAAAGCTGTCATCAGTATCAAGGACTTGAATGCCACTTTCCAGACAGAGAAGATAGGGCACCCCCATGGGCTGCAGATCACCTACGGGAGAGAGAGCCACACTCGGAACCTGTTCCTATACCACGAGAGTGGGAAGGTGAGGGGCCCGGGATGGCCGCCCCCGCCTCCTGTGGGCACCTGGGTGCTGCAGGCTGGGCTCCCTGCCTCCCTGGCTCGTTTCGAGATGTGCTGTGTTGCCCCTTCAGACTTGCTGCTGCTGCTCACCTGTTTTCACTTCCTGGTCTGAGACGGAGCTATGAGGCAGGCAGAGTGAGATGTGGGGCAGGAAGCTGGCAGGTGCCAGGGATATATGTGGACAGTGCTCGGCCACCAGTGAGAGTCCAGTTAGCAGAAGGCACTGTGCCCTGTGAGAGCAAATCCCAGCAGGGGAGAGACGCTGAGTAGAGGAGGTATTCCCCACTTCCAGGATGGGGAGGTCAGGCGCGGGCCTTGCTTCTTGGCTGCTGTCCTGGATCCAGAGCTTTGGCTTTACCTGGGTGCTTGTGAGAGCTGGAGCCTCAGATCCAGGCAGACCTACTAAATTAGCAGCTGCCCTCTCCCAGGGTCCTGGGCCATCCTGATGCACACTACAGGCTGAGAAGCATCACTGATTGGGCCAGGAGATCAGCACGGGCCGGGAGATCAGCACATGCAGGAGAGCAAGTCCAGGAGAATGATCCAGATCAGAGCCCGAGCAGGGTCAGATGATGGGGCAGGGGACAGAGGTGCCACCTGGGGAGGAGGGGAGTTGGGGCTGACAGTTTGTATCTGTGGCCTCTGCTGGACACACCTGCTCCTGATTGTTGGGTATCAGTTCTTAATCCTTAAGACAACCCTGAGGATGTTTTGTGCCTGTGCTCCTGAGGCGAGGACATGGTAGGTAACCTGCTCAGGGTCACACAGCCCTGGACCCATTTGACCACCTCCACACACCTCTGCTGCTGGAGAACCTTTGGCAGCAGGATTCAGACACCAGGTGCATGGACTTGGCCTTGCTGAAGGTCTCTCACACAGGGGTGGGGACCATGGGCTGCCCTCCCAGCAACATTCTTGCTTCTGTCATGTCTCAGGTGAGCGCCTGGTAATGTAGTCTGAAGAGCAGGGATCCAAGGCCTGGGCTCTCTGTCTCCCAGCCGTGTCACTGGGGCAGGTCCCTTCCCTCCTCAGTCTGTTGGTTTGCTTGTGGATTCTCAAACCCACCTCTGAGAGGAGTTTTAGAAAAGGGTGTGTGTGTGTGTGTGTGTGTGTGTGTGACACCACAAAACATGAATGTGAGACACCACAAAACATGAATGTGACCTTACTTCATAACATTTGAGTGTGTTACAAACAGTTGTTGGAGTTCTTTGCTCATGACTGTACCACATGTACAGGGCGAAGTTGATGGCCAATCTCCGACTTGTGTCACAGATTCCTAGTGTATACACATTCACTGAATTCAGATGGATCAAGCCTCTGCAGGGTGCAGAAGCCTCTGAAGGGGACAGACCCATGGGCCTCCAGGAGGAGGGAGACAGGGAAACAGGCACTGATGACCGTGTGTGATGGGTGGTGGCCACATAAGTGTGCATGTGTGGTAGGGGGCTGTATCAAAAGTCTTTCCCAAGGAAAGTTTCTATTTAAGAATTGCTTACTATGCTAAAAAGGATCACATTCAATCTGGCTTAAAGGGGAATAGATGAGGAAGATATACAAATATTTATCACAAGGGCCAGAGTATGGCTGGGCTTCCTGAGAGATTATGGTGAATTTGTGTGTGTGTGTGTGTGTGTGTGTGTGTGTGTGTGTGTGTGTGAGAGAGAGAGAGAGAGAGAGAGAGAGAGAGAGACAGAATGGGGAGAAGAGAGAACAAAATGAGTCAAAAGAGGGGGAGAAAGAGATAGGGAGAGAGAAAGTGCACTCTTTCTAACATGTACAAGTTATTCCATCACATGAGGGTTTGACCAAAGTCCTCTTTTGTTTCTCTAAATTCAAGGGCCTCATTTCCAAGATTACCAAGAAATCTAACAATCAGTCATCTTTCCTGCTCTCTTCCTTGGTCTTACCAGAATCTAGGGGTCTGCACAGTCCTGGAGGTGTAGGGGGATCCCCGGTTCTCAGACCGTGGGGTGGGAGTGTCCCTGCTGCTCCCCCATGTCCAGATTGGCTAGACACCAAAGGCAGCCCCTCCACGCCATGCACTGCCACAAGAACTTCTGCTGAGGTACAGCGTCTTTGTCAGTTATGTTACCTGGCTCCCTCCCACTTACCCAGGTTGGTGCAGCTGGCAACGTGGAGCTGGCCTTCCTTCTCTTTCCCTTGGGACTGCAGCTTCTCTGTTAGATGAGCAGTAATGCCAGCTGCAAATTCATGCCTTCAGGAGCCAGCTAGGAAATTCAGAAGTAAAATGGACTGCTATTAGGAAGGGTGGAGGCTATGGCAAATAGGAAAACCTGCATAGAGAATTGAAATAAACAAAATTTCAGGAACCAAACATGTATGCAGGGGCTAGGGATACAGCTCAGTGGTAGAGTGCTTGCTTAGCTTGTGCAAGGTCCAAGGTTCAATCCCCAGCTGTTGCAAGGGAGAGAAAAAAAAAGCCCAAACATTTATATAGGTTGAATTTGGCCCTAGGACCAACAGTCTGTGACAGGAAAGACTTTGTAAAGTGAAGGCCTGGAGGCATTTTTTTCTTAAAAATTCCCAGAACAGGGCCAGGGATTTAGCTCAGTGGTTTCACTACCTACTACGCAAGTGCAAGGACCTGAGTTCAATCCCCGGTACCAAAAATAAATAAATAAATAAATAAATAAAAATTCCCAGAACAATGACCTCAGAACTCTGGAATACTAGACCCCTGTCTTTAGGGCAATGAAAGGGAAATTGTTTAATTCCTTTGAAACCGTACTCAAATAAGTTTCTCAATCACCATATTCCATCAAAATATCTTACTTCAGTCCACAATGAAGCTATTTGAACAGGTCTTTCAGCCTCCCAATTCCAGATTTCTGGGAGAAAGAATATGATAAGCCCAATTCATCCTCTATGCTGTACCAACCCTAGTCTGTGGCCAAGAAAGGGCCAAATGGTGAGGATGTGGGGTGTGGATGGTGGGACGGTACCGGGGATTGAACTCGGGACCTTGTGCTTGCAAGGCAGGCACCAGAACCACTGAGGTAAATCCCCAGCCCAAGGTGGGATGGTTCTTAGAGAAGCATGTCTTGGGCTGAGCAACCACCCAACAGTCCATTACAACACCTAAACTAACTCAAAGGAAGAGTAGCATGTTCTAGGTAAAAGGTGTGTGTTGGCTGGGTGCGGTAGTGCCCGCCTGTAATCCCAGGTTCTCTGGGGGCTGAGGCACGAAGATTGCAAGTTCAAGTCCAGCCTGAGCAATTTAGGAAGACCTTGTTTAAGTTTAAAAAATAAAAAGGGCTGGCAGTGTTGGTCAGTGGGAGAGCCCCTGAGTTTGAGCCCCAGTACTAATAACAACAACAAAAATGTGTGTGTGTGTGAGGAAGGTATGTGTGAAACTGTGTCCCAGGATGGGGGAGCGGCATGTGCTGTGGGAGGTGGGTGGTGAGTGGGGAGTAAACAGGTGTGTGTGGAAGGTGCTCAGAGGGCAGAGTAAGTCAAGCTAAAGAATTCAGGGTAGGGGTGGGTGTGCAGAGAGCTTGCCTAGTAGGTGCAAGGCCCTGTGTTCAGTCCCCAGTGCCAAAAAGAAAGGGAGGAAGGAAAAAGAAAAGAAAAGGCATACCGCATTCTAAGCCATTGCGTGTCACTCCCAGGCCGATCAGCTGAGCCCTCTCTGTGGCTCTGAGTTCTGTGGCTTCCTGCTTGCTCGGTGGCCGCCGGGCTGTGACACAGTCCTCCCTGGATGGCCCTAGGTGGAGCTGTGTGGTGTGGACATGTGCTGGATGCACGTGCCTGAAACCTCATAACCCTAACCCCGCCACCTGGGTCAGTTGCCACCACCTCAGTCTCACCAGCTGTCTGTGTCCTTTGGTTTTTCTCATTAGGAGATCGTGGACTGGTTCAATGCCCTCCGAGCAGCCCGTCTGCAATACCTAAAAATGGCCTTTCCTGACCTCCCGGAGGCTGAGGTGAGCTGGATGGATGTAGACCCCAGCTTCTGAGTCTGCCCACTGCCACCTCCTTTTCTCTCTGTCTAGGCCAGACTGTGTTTGTTGCAGGCCAGGTCTTGAGATTTGGGGGGCTGGGCCCCTCCCTCAGAGGGAAGCCAAAGGCTTGGTCCTGGGCAGGCTGGAGGATTATGGGTAAAGCGGCCTCCATAAAGCAGGTCACTTTTGGAACACATGGGCATGATCACATTGTCAAGGGGCCCAGCCTTTGGGGATCTCTTCTGTACGAATGACCTAAAATGTACAAATGACCCCTAAATACTACTACTTACGAAGTGCTTTTAACCCACTTTATTTTATAACCCCTTTTTATCTAGTCATCCCCTAGAGCAGGCAGTTAGATGAAGTGACTATTCCCATTTTACTCATGAGAAACTGAGTCCCAGGAAGGGCAAGTGAAGAAGGGATCCTTCCCTTTGCCCTTAGGTCTCTGGTCTCAGAGGCCTTGGCACCCTCCCATTACAGTTGTAACAGGAGCAGAGCTGCTTTCGATGCCCAAGGGAATATTGAACTTGAGAACTTCATTTTAATTGTTCCCAGACATCCGGGGACTCCCAGCTGCCTCTCTGAGTGGTGGCTGGGGAGGGCCTGCATGGTGTGGGGCAGGGGGTGCTGTCTGTGCACGTCTGTCACTGACTTGCTGTGTGACCCTTGGAGGTCACAGCCCCTCTCCGAGCATCCGTTTCCATATTGGTAAGATAGAGGTTGCTTCGGGTCAACTTCAGGTCCCTCCAACTCTGAAGTACTATCGTCTGATCCCTGTTTTAGGTTCCCCTCTAAGAGAGTTTTGAAATTATTGGGGTGGAGAGAACATGTTAATCCTGGGACTTTTTTTTATTATTATTCCCGTTTGATGCTCCTTGAAAGCCTAAATGGTCATCAGTGCCCAGGTTGCAGGGAGCTTGATGTCTGGAATAGGGTCCACTCCAGGCCCAGGGACGCAAGGAGTCGGCAGCTCCCGTGGTCAGTTCTACCAAGGCTGAGGTTAGAACCCTGGAGGTCACGGTCAGTCGAGGTCGGTGTGCTGAGTCAGTGCCCAGGATAGGTTACGGCTGGTTCCCATTGGCCAGAAGTCCAGAGTGCTGACTGGCGACCAGGAGGAGGGAGGACAAAGTGCAGGTGCTCTGCCTTATTTAATCTGGGCCGGCTTCCCATCTTTGCTGACTTGTGTGCAGGAACTTGGTCTTTGGCCAGTGTCCTCAAAACCCCTTTGCCTTCCCCATGACCATCATTACCGTTGTCTCCAGGCTCCTCCCAGCACACCTCTCTCTTTTTCCTCCCACCCAGCATCCATGTGCCATGTCAGGTTCTGGGCTATCACCCTGGCCTGGCTCAGACTGAAGGGTTCAGATGCTGGAAACTCAGGGAAACCCTGTGGGTTTGTGGTCCTTTAATCAGGAACCCATGTAGGGGTGGGAGTAGAGCTCAGTGGTTGAGTGCTGGGGCAGCATTTGTGAAGCCCTCGGTTCATAGACTCTGAAGTGGAGGGCAGGCCATCTCACTTCTCCAAGCCTCAGTGTACTGTCTGTGACCATGAGGACAGTGGCTACCTTCGGGGCTGTTGTGGGAATCAGAGGAGCCCTGTTGTCTGAGGGCCAGTAATGAGTATTCCACCCTGGTTGTGTCCCTTCTTCCCATCATTTCCCTGGGCCTAGACTGGCCCTATCCTGGCTCAAGTTCAGAATAGCAAACAGACAGGGCTTCATCTGTTTCCTCCAATGGGGAATGAAAGCCTCTCTAATGTATTTTGGGAGAAGAGATTTTCATTTCTGGCTCCTGACCTTCCTCTTTTCAGACCTTGCAGCATAGGAGGCCAGTGCCAGTCCCTGGCAGCCTTTCTGAGCACAGGATGGACAGCTGGAAGGGCTGCTGGTGGTCACAGGACTGAGTCTCCTCACTGCACAGGGACGCAGAGGATCTTACCAAGGTCATGTGGCTGGTGGAGGTCAGAAGTGCAGCCAGAGCCCAGGTCTCCCACCTCCTTGTCCAGAGCTTTCTGTCTACCCACTCTGTTGTCACCTCCTCATGGCCCTGTGTTGTCAGAGTGCCTACCAGTGGCCAGGTAGCCAGCAAGCCTCAGCTGGGGGCTTGCTCAGAAGGCTCTGGCATGTTTACACTTCAGTGTCACAGTGTGGTGACCCCACATGTGACTGTCGCTTCTTCATGCCAGGGGCTATGCGGCTTTGAGACTGACAAGACCCTCCTCCCAGGGAGGTTGAGAGTTGCACCCAAACCCTGCCAGACAGTAGGCCTGGGACGATGCTCCCTGACCCCAACAGGTTCTCCTCACAGCCTTGGCTGAAGGAGTCCTTAACCCGTGACTCAGCCATGCCAGTAAGCTCTGCAAACACCTGGGGTGCTGACGACCTACTTTGTTGAAATATGAATATTACAGACAGTGCACCTTCCAAATATAACCCCCAGCCATCGAGTGTATATTTCCTTCCCTATTCCACACTTCCTCTTTGTCTGTGAGCCAAGTTCTTTTGGGAACCTTGACCTCTGGTGTTCGAGTGGGAGGTCAGCGTCTGTCTCTCTCCCCCCAGCTTGTGCCCCTCATCACCAGGAACTACCTCAAACAAGGCTTCATGGAAAAGACTGGCCCAAAGGTACATCCTACCACTCCTTGGGGGAGGCATGTATCTGGCCCTGGCCCTGGCCTGGTCACCAGTAGGGCAGGATTTGGGAGGTGAGGGAGTGGGGAAGGAGGGCTGGAAAGGGAAGGAAAGGAAGTTAGCCCATGTGGGAGTTCCTGGGTTGAAGGATTGAGCAGACAAATGTTGGCAGGTGCATGGTCCAGCATTGCTCCGGGGGCACTGCCCTCTCCTGGGCAAGCTCTGTCCCCCATCATCAGCTTCTTTCCTCTGAACTCATGTAACCACCCCTACCCCTGGGAAAGTGGAGCTGAGAAGGGACTCCCTGGGGAGACAGCTTTGGGGTGCTCCAGAACCCATGGTGCTCTGTGCCAGGAGCCCACCCGCATGGCCAAGGGAGACAGGGCCTGTGACTGGCCTGAGGAAATGTGAGTGCTCCATGTTGGGTGCCCCAAGGCCTCCTCCAGCACACCCTCACTGCCTCCAGCTCAGCCTGGCTCCCCTTTCTGAACCCGCCACCAGGGCTTGCTATGCCCACTTCTCTGTGCAGGAGGGGAAGGCTGACGCCATTGTGGGGCAGAGCCTGGATGCTGAGCTGAGGAGAGCAGGTTCAAAGTCAGAAGTCTGGCTGGAGGGCGTCCTGGTGATTGCAGGGGGTGTGGAAGAGGGGAGAGGAGGGAGAAAACAGAGATGCTCCCTAAAACACTCCCCAGAAGTGGCAGCATTCTAGCTTATTTTTAAAGGTTTAATGTGTTCATGTACACAGTAACTGTTAAAAGGAGAGTGAGTGTTAGGAGACAGTACGAAAGAAAGCCTGGGCAGGTTGAAAAGGTTCCTTCCTTCACCAGCCAGGCACAGCTCCTCGCCATGGCCCTCACCCGGGCCGGGGGTGCTCCCTCCCCTGGCTGAGGTTAGAATTTGGCCATCCCAGCACTTTCAGCCTCGAGGAGCAGTAGCCACTTCTGATTTTCCCAGCTTCCTTTTTCTGAGACTTGTTTGTCCACAGCCTGAGAAAGACGGAAGCGCCCCTTCCACCCCCAGGCCACACCTGGAGACAGCAGGCCCAAGTGGGCAGGGGGCAGCGTGGGGTAGGGGGGCAGCTGGGGGCTGGGAGGGGGCAGGCAGAGCCCTGACCGGGGCCTGGGGAGAAGCAGCAGGGAGTCTGATTGGGAAGCCAGCAGGGCTGGAGAACCAGTGGGACTGGCCCTACTGCCTGGCCTTGGCCTGAGCTGGTCCCACCCTCTGTCCCCTGCTTTGCCATCCTGGTAAGAGGTTCCCTCTTTTGCAGCAGAGAGAACCTTTCAAGAAAAGGTGGTTTGCCTTGGATCCCCAGGAGCGGAGGCTGCTCTATTATAAGAACCCCCTGGTAAGAACTACTCCCCAAGTTATCCAGCTCAGGGCTTGTACCTAGTGCTGGGATTTCAGGCCTGCGCCATCACACCTGGCTCGGGGCTTCATCTAACCAGGAGGCGAGGAGTGGAACAGTTTGAGGTGTGGGCCTGGAAGGCAGTGGTCTGCCTCTGTCCCAGCCCTGCCATTGTAGTGTCTGGCGTGCCCTGGGCAGAAGGTACACTTAGCTGTCTGTGCCTCAGTTTCCTCCTCTGAAACAAGGCTTTAAATGCCTTGCTCGGAAGTTACTGAGATGGGTACATGAGTTGCAACATACAAAGTACATGAGTTCCTGCTGCTCAGTGAGCTCTCCACAAGCCTTAGTTACCTTTCCAACAGAGGATGTGTCATTTATTGTAGGGTTTTAATCTAGCAGCACTCCTGGTAGTGGCACACTTTACCAAAATGGAGCTTGGGGCCTGTTGGGGGTGCAGAAACCCCTCTGCCCCAGGGCTGGCCTGGGGTGTATAGGTGCCTTCTGGTTTTCAGGATGCCTTCGAGCAGGGCCAGGTTTTTCTTGGGAGCAAGGAGCAGGGATACGAAGTCCTTGAAGAGCTGCCGAAGGGCGTCCGAGGGAGTCGCTGGAAAGCTGGCCTCACCATTGTCACCCCGCATCGGAGATTTGTCCTCACCTGCCCCAGCGAGAAGGAGCAGCGGGAATGGCTGGAGAGCTTTCGGGATGTCCTTTCTCGCCCCTTGACGCCCCTCCACCTCCTCGGTGAGCAGCGGGGGGCCAGGGCCGGCTCTCTGGGCTGAGGGTAGAGGGGCCTTCTGCACGGGGCTCAGCTGTGAGGCCAGAAGAGCCCTGACTCTGCGCTTTCCATGGTCTTCGCTTCCTGCCTAAGAAAAGCACAGATGTTGTGCATTATTGCCCCAGAGTCCCCTGGGCACCCCAAGGCTCCTCTAACAGAGCCCCTGTCTATGAGCTTCCAGAGAATCTGGCCCTGGCTGAACACTTGAGGCCGCCTCTCCCCTGCCTGCCTGAGCGGCTGGGCAGCCCTCGTCCCTTTTCTCATGAGAAACCCCTGGCCAGGTGTTACTAGCTGAGGTCACCCCGCTGGGCTGTTGCTGGGATCCTGGATTCCTCACTGGAGGGGAGGCTATTTATAATGCTTTCTTTTCCCTCATCCTCCCTTCTGTCTCTCTCTCCTGCTCCTTGTCACAAGGAGGCTTCCCTATCTTTTGGTGCCCCTGGGAAAAGGCCAGATGTCTTGAACTAGAACAGAAAACTTCTGACCCAGGGCCCAGCTTCTGGGCATGAAGGAAAAGTTCTGTTTGGAAAAGTATAGCCAGAACAGGTAACCCCCACAGAGTCCCTTGGGGGGAGCCCTGTGCCCTCTGAGTCTGCTGAGGATAAGGACAAACTCTCTTCACTGTCCCAATTCTTTGTGTTGTTGTTTTGGTACTAGGGATCAAACTCAGGACTTTGTGCTTTCAAGGCAGGTGCGGTGCCACTGAGCTAAATCCTGGGCCCCAGCTGTCCCAATTCTCGAAGCCAAAAGAATTCAGAAATGAAAAAGGGACGCCGCTGCTTTCTTTTGTCCCTGGGCCTGGGTGTCTGAGTCTCTTGGTTCCTTTCCTTCTATGTGTCTCTGTCTCTTCAATGTTTACTCCCTCTCTAGGGTATGTATGGGGGGGGGGGGACGGCATGAGTGTGTGTGTGTGTATGTTCCCTTTGTCATTCTTTCCATTTGTTTTTGAAGTTTATTTTCGCTTCTCTTTCCCAACCTATTTTTGCTTTTTTGTTGTGTTTCTTGTTTTTTTGAGATAGGGTTTCACTATGTAGCCCAGGCTAGCCTTGAACTTGTGGCAATCCTCCTGCCTCAGCCTCTGGAGTAATTACAGCCATGTGCTGCCCCACCCTGCCCCAACCTGTTTTTTATTCTAGCTCCCCCACATTGCCTGCCTATCCTCAGGACTGCCCTCACATGGCCACCTCCCTGAGCCCCCTTATTTCCCTTCCAGGTGCACCCACAGAAAGTGGGTGCAGCAACAGGTGACCTTTGGCTGAAGAGCTGGCTGGCCACCTGATGTGAAGGAGAAGTTCTTACTCTGCCCTCGTGCCCAGCAAGAGTGCCTGAAGGCTGCAGCCACCCCTGGCAGTGAACTGTGCAGAGACTGAAGCCTCTTGCTCTCTGGGCCTTCCACACTGCCCAGATTTGGGGAGCTAAGGCTCCGGTACAGTGATGAGCACATAACCCCCCACCCCCCAGCACACCCAGGCTTGAGGCATCCCAAAGGCCCAGCACTTCCTCAAATCTGAAATGGCGCATTGAAGTGAAGGGACAGTCACAGCATTGTGCAAATGGCATCTTGCCACTCCCCCTCCCAAAGTAAAAGTTCAGTCTGAATCTAACCATGAGGAATATAGACAAACACAAATTCACATTAGGCAATTCAGCTAAACAACTAGCCTGGACTCTTCAAAGATATAGTCTGGAAATATTAGATGAAAGGGACTAAGAAGTGGCAATCAGGGCCGGGGATTTAGCTCAGTGGTTTCACCGCCTGCTGCACAAGCTCAAGGACCTGAGTTCAATCCCTGGTACCAAAAAAAAAAAAAAAGTGGCAATCAGATGCAATTCATGGTTCTTGCTTGGATCCTGGATTTTAAAAAACAACACCAATTGTAGGCCTGGTGCAGTGTGTATGCCTGAAATCCCAACACTTTGGGAGGCTGAGACAGGCAAATGGCCAAGTTTGAGCCTAGCTTGGGCAACTTAGCAAGACCTTGTCTTAAAATTTAAAAATAAAAATAAGGGGCTAGGGATGTAGCTCAGTGTGAAGGCCCCCGGTTCAGTGCCCACTACTGCAAACAACAAAGAGCTGTAGAGGATATGCCTCAGATGATTGAAGAAATATAAATATGGGTGTATATTGGCTATCGCTTCTTGGCCTTTTGGCTAAGATCAAGTGTGTATACTGGCTAGCAATATTGCAAGGCTGTGATAATCATGCTGTGTTTGTATGGGAGAACTGCTGCTGAGGTAGAATGTAGTGATGCCTACAACCAATTCTTCAATGGTTCAACAAAACCTAAGGGTATATGTATATTTTTAACGAATAGAGTATATCTGTGTATATACATACATATATAAAGATTATATATGGGGAGAGAGATCCACTGTGTAAAGTGTTAGTGACTGATGAATCTAGATGAAGTATATGTGGACATTTATTTTCCAATTCATGCAAATTTTATACAGATTTAAAAGTTTTCATATTAAAAAGTTGAGAAAAATATGTTTTAAATACCCACTTTCCACTCTTGAAAAATAGTGGTTTTTCTCTATGAGTTAAAAATGCAGGGCCAGGGGTTTAGCTCAGTGGTGCCACCACCTGCCTTGCAAGCACAGGGTCCTGAATTCAATCCCAGTACCAAAAAAAAAAAAAATGCTGTTGGAGTGCCAGAGATTTAGCTCATTGGCACCGTGCCTGCTTTGCAAGCAAAAGGTCCCGAGTTCGATCCCCAGTACCAAAAAAAAATGCTGTTGGAGCTTGGCACCATGGCACATACGTGTAGTCTCACCTACTCAGAAGGCTGAGGCAGGGGGATCAATCACTTAAGTCCAGATATTTGAGATTAGCCTGGATAGTATGAGACCTTGGCTCAAAAAAAATAAAAAGTACCTGTGGGATATGGGGGGGGGTGGCTCAGTGGTAGATTGTGTGCTTAGCGTGCCTGAGGCCTTGGGTTCAATCTTAAGCATTGAAATTAATTATCTAATTAATTTAGTAACGTGTTTCTGGGAGATTTGCATCTTGTGCACACTTGAGAAGAAACAGAAATCTAGGTAATAAAGAAACAATTCTGGGGCTGGGGATTTAGCTCAGTGGTTCTGGTGCCTGCCTCACAAGCGCAAGATCCTGAGTTTGAGTCCCGGTACCAAAAAAAGAAACAATGCCTGCATTGGTCGGCACAGCGCTCCAGCAGGAAAGAAGCAAGCTAAGCAGACAGGTCCACTGCACAGCAGGGCAGAGCCACCCAGGGTCTGGCCCTGCTAACTTGGGGCCACTGGAATATTCACTTCCCCAACTCTGTGCTTTGGTTTTTCTCTTTAAAATGAGGAAGTTGCACTAACTACTGAAATTCAATGCAAGTAACAAGTATCTTTCACCGCTTCCCCGGTGCCAGGCGCTGCTCCCAAGCCTTGTGTGTAGGAGTAAAGGAGTGGGATGCTTCGGTCCTTGCTGTCACGATTGCAGCCGGCAGGGGGCAGCAGCGGCCCTTAACCAGGGAGGCGCTAGCAGGCCCCAGGGCTGCCCTCACTGAAAAACAGAGGGAAGCCAGCTTCCTCTCCAGAAAGTGACGTCAAAAGTGAAGCCTTGAATAGGTTAATCAAAGGGAGGAGGGTAAGGCAAACACTTTTTAAGCTAAGAGAAGAAAATGCTTAAAGGCTCTGAGATGGAAAAAGGGAGCTGAAAGAAGTCTCAAGTGGCTGCAGTGCTTGCCAAGACCCCTGCTCCATGAGTCTTTGTTCTTTTCCCACCCATCGAGGGACATGAAAAACACTCTTCACTTCCATGAAGACCAGGAGGGGTGAGAGAGTTGTTATAGGACTCTCTGCATGGCCTGGTGAGTGGTTGTGCATGTTGTCATCCCAGCTATTCAGAAAGCTGAGAAAGGAGGATTGCAAATTTCAGGCCTGCCTGCACAGTTTGTAATAGCCAAAGCTTGGAAATAGCCCAAGTGCCCATCAACTGGAGACTGGATAAAGAAGATGTGGGGTTTTTTAATAAAATGGAGTATTATTTACCCATAAAGAATGAGAAACTAGAGACACTTATAGCTAAATGGATGCACATTGAGGCTATACTCTTTGTTTTGGTACCGGGGATCAAACTCGGGTCCTTGCACTTGTGAGGCAGGCAGCGGAACCACTGAGCTAAATCCCTGGCCCGAGGCCATACTCTTAAGTGAAATAAATAGGACACACATGTGTAAATACCGAATAGTTTCTCTGGTGTGAGAAACTGAAAGTGTAAATAAGGATTAAAATGAATAATTGATAATGTGAAATAGGAAGAAAAGGCCCAAAGGGGTCCGGGAAGTGGGAGAAGTAGGGGAAAGAAAAGAAGGGAAAGGAAAAAATACGAGAAAAGGGAAAAATGGAAACAAAGTCTTTGTAAATAGGGAAGGGTGGAGGGGGCGAAGGGAGAGTAGGGGAATGGGGAAAAAATAAGAACGAAGATACATCATGTAAAGGTACAAGTTCCTAAAAATGAATGTAAATGCACTGTACACCTAAAATTTTAGGCCAGCCTGGACAACTTTGAAGAGACCGTGTCTCAAAAATTTAAAAAGGCTGGGGAGATGGGTGTGGTATCCCATACCTGTAATCCCAGCACCCTGGAAGGGTGAGGCCAGAGGATTGCAAGTTAATGCACACCCCAGCATGGGCAAGTTAACGATTTAGCAAGAAATTTTAAAAGGCTGGAGATGTTGCTCAGTGCAAAGGCTCTGGCCTCAATCCTCATTATCATAAATAAGAAAACAAAGAAACAAATAGGGATGGAGGGATAGCTCAACACTGGAGCACTTGCCCAGCATACACAAGACTGAGTTCAGTCCCCAGTATTGTGGGAAAAGAGGGAGGGGTGGGGGAGGAAGAAATTGGGGAAGGGGGAACAGGAGGGGAGAGGGGTCTCTGCATGTTATGGGATTTGGACCCCCAATCGTGGGGCAAGCAACACGTGAGAGTCTCTTTCCTGAAGTCTCAGGACTGCCCACGTAGGAAAGCAGCTCCTCTCTGGCTCCCAAAGCACCCTGGAGACGTCTCTTTCAACACTCACTGGGGTGTGCATTGAGGGTCAATCCCTTGTCTGCCTTTCCTACCAGGTCTGGTAAGTGTTGAGCTACTCTGGTAAGTTCTGAGGATGAGCAAATCAATAAAGGCATAGTCCTGTCTTCAAGGAACATATGGTCTAGAGGGGAAGAAAGAGAAGAAAACAGGCAGGAACAAAGCTACCTGAAGAGGGAAACTGGGCTTCTAAGTGTGGGAGCCCTATAGAGGCACAGAGAACAGACACAAGAGCTGAAGCTCCAACGAAATGGTCTGCCTGTTTATCGTTGTTGGTGTTTTTTGGCTTTTTGAGACAGAATCTCATGATGTAGTCCAGGCTGGCCTTGAATTTGTGGCAATCCTGCCTCAGCCTTCTGAGTGCTGGGATTATAGGCATGTGCCACCATGCCCGGTAGTCTGCCTGGTTTGGGTTGGATCCTTAGCTGGATCTCTCTCTGGGTTCCACAAGGATATTTCTTCCTCTTACATTAAATCCCCTTTTGTCCTTTTTTTGGTTTCCTGCAAGGAAGTTTCTATTACTTGACTCCATACCAACTGAAAAACTTCTCCAAAAGAGATGATATCTATGCTAAATCCTAAGATTGAGTAAAAGATCCTTGGGTTGGGATGGGAGAAGCAGTAAAGAAGCATGTACAAAGGCCCAGAGAGAAGAGAAGACTGTTCTGGAGTCTTTGGATAAATGACTATGCTAGAGAACAGATGGCTGGGGAAGGAGAAGTAAGAGCAGGTGAGATTGGAGGATGGATTGCTCCCAGTAATGGTGCAGCAGCTCACATCAGAAAACCTTCAGGCAGATAACCATAATAAACTCTGGAGAGACGAACCAAAAAACTATCTGAAGGCACTGAAAAGTGACCAAAGGCCACAGAAGGTAGAGAGGAGCTGGCACTAGGAAGCAGGAAATGGCCTGATGAGTCTCTCACTTTTCAGTTTTCACCTGAGGGCCTGGCCAAGTCAGTCAGTGCCTTAGGGAGTCACCAGAAATTTGGCAGAAAGCTCTATCTTCCTGACTGAAAAATAGAAGTCAGAGTTCAAGGTAAGCACAGCAACTGAAAAGTGAAAGGGGGAAATCTGGGAGGAGAGGACCATGGGGAGGACAAGTGAATTTGGTGTATTCAGTGATACTGTAGTTGTTGAACTCAATTTGTTTCAAATTCATGCTCGAACACTGAAAAATTTTGAGAACTGAACATATTATTCCTATAAGAAATAATGAAAAACCTATTGGTTCAGAGGCAAAAAATTGCACTTATAAATTCATTTTCCAGGACTTTTTTTTTTTTTTTTTGGTACCGGGGATCAAACTTGGGACCTTGGGCTTGCAAAGCAGGCAGTGGAACCACTGAGTGAAATCCCTAGCCCCATTTTTCAGAACTTTAACAAATTTCATAATGATTTCTTTCTTTCACTCTATCATGGTGCTCACAGTTTTCCTCTTAGCTTTACTGCTGGTATCATTAACTGTCTTTGGAGCCATGGTTATGATATTTTACACAAATAAAGTGCAAGAAAAAAGCACAATGATGAATGTATTGATGTGCTAACACAAGAACTATATGTGTTTGGCTGAGAGCAGTGCTTAGACTGAAATGAAACCCCTTTCTGTCCACAGCGACTCACTCTTGGCACTTACAGGTTTTTTTCAAGTCAGATTTTCAGGTTGACTGCTTGGGGCAGATCAGACCCTTGGATACCTGTAGGGAGGGGATAACGGGGAATAAAAAAAGACAGACAAAATTCAAGGTATAAGAGGACAAGGAGGGACCTCCCTCTAGTAGACAAGCTCAACAATCTCCATTGTTGACACACTTTTTTAGCCAGTAAGAAGTTCAGCGGGAGGGGTAGTGTACTTTTCCTGGGACAGCAACTACAGTAAGAATGGGGCAATAAAAGCTGAGAAGCAAGTTCAACTTCATAAAGGGAACAAGTTAATGGGGATTAAGTCCTTCCCTATACCTGGATTTCTACATTCTTTTTGCATTGGCCTCAGCAGATGTTACCTTGCTTTGGGAGCACTGTGATTATGGGCTTTCCCCACACAGCCGGGAAGCATACTTCCCTATTCCTAAAGCAGGTCACACCAGCCTCACGACTGTGGGACTTAAGTCACGTAGCCTGGTCCCCAACATTTTCCTCACATAGCTTGGTCCCCAACAGTTGACTATCGAGCAAATTTACAAACACCAAGCAAAATTTTTTTTACAACTTTGCTGTTCAAGTAGTGGAAAATTTGAGCTTGGAGCCATTCCATGACAGGTATCACTGTAACCTGCCTGATCTCTGAAAAAACATAACAGGATCCAGAAGGTCTAAAATGGCTGGGTGTGGTGGTGCACACCTGTGATCCCAGCACTTGGGAGGCTGAGGTAGGAGCATCAGTGAGAGTTCAGGGCCAGCCTGGGCTCCACAGTCCGTTTGAGGCCAACCTGAGCTACATAGCAAGACCTTGTCTTCAAAAAGAAGGGAAATCAAGATATAACCCCCCCAAAAAAAGATATAACCTCAGGCTACTAAACATATGAGTGTCAACTTTCTGTCACTATAATGAATACTGGAGATAATCAACTTATAAAGGAAAAGGTTTATTTTGGTTCATGTTTTAGAGATTGCAGTTTTTTGTTTTTTGTTTTGGTACTGGGGATCAAACTCGGGTCCTTGCATTTGCACAGCAAGCGGCAAAACCACTGAGCTAAATCCCCGGCCCTGGAGATTGCAGTTTTTAATTGGCTCCCTTGTTTTGGCCTGTGGTGAGGAAGCACATTTTGGCAGGAGTAAAACCACTCATCTCATGATCTGAAAGCAAGGGAGGAAAAAAAAGGGACTAGATCTTATGGTTTATATCTGGATGTCCCCAAAGCTTCATGTATTCCAAGATGGGGTTTGGGTATAAGAGGTAAAATATTTTTAATCAGTCCATATTTCATTAACTCACTCTAATAAGCCCTTAGACATAGATTTACCTCAGTAAACTCGTAGACAAAGACATGCAGGCTATACAAAGACACACCAGAGGTGAAGTTCTGGGGTAAAGTGGTAATTGCTAAGCAAGTCTCCCCAAATCCTGTGAAGCAAAAGGCTCAAAATAACTACAAAGAGATAGGAAGCAGGGGATGCGAAGGGAAAGGGGGCACAACAATTGTGGGATGAAATAGATTGCTCGGGACAGACTGAACCCTGGATCCCAGGCCATGGGAGATGGGGGAGTGAGTCCTGTGAGTTAGGAATAGAAACGGCTTCTCAGCTGGAGTGTGCCTGTCTCTATGCATAGCACCACTCTTGCAAGAGTATGGATTAAAAATCTTGCTTTTTGGGCCAGGGATTTAGCTCAGTGGTTCTGGCGCCTGCCTCGCAAGCGCAAGGTCCCAAGTTTGATCCCTGGTACCAAAAAAAAAAAAACAACCTTGCTTTTGCTGCTTCTGGAGTCTAATTTTTTTTTTTTTTTTGGTACTGGGGATCGAACTCAGGACCTTGTGCTTGCAAGGCAGGCACCAGAACCACTGAGCTGAATCCCCTACCCACTTTATTTTATTTTATTTATTTTTTTGATACCAAGGCTCGAACTTAGGACCTTGCGCTTACAAGGCAGGCACCAGAACCACTGTGCTAAATCCCTGGCCCTAATTTCTTTTCTTCTTCTTCCTTTCTTCTTAATTTGATTTTTGGCCAAGAAGTAAATTCATTTTTTACAGTTAGGGGCTTATCCAGGAGATTCTATGCCCGCGTGGACCAGGTGGTCCTGGTAGAGAGGGAGGTGAGTCCCACTCCCTACCCCCTTTTTGTGCGGGCCGCTCTGCCTGGATACTCCGTTTCCCTGAGAAAGCCAGAGAACACTCGAGACTGTTCTAAAGACAGTGAAACTGATGCAGGACAGATAAAAGAAACAAACCATGGCAATCAAGTAATCTTTGCCCTGGAGAAAGTAGGAACAATTGGACTAAGGTCCTGCTTTGTTGGATGGGTGACATTCTCTGTGACTGACACAGGTCTCAGACAAGCGATTCCGGGGCATGTGTGAGAAACCTCTATTCTCCTTCCAACTGTCATAGGTAGACACCTGCAGTAGAGCAGGTGGGAGCCTTGACAAAAAAAGGGGCCACCAGGGCCCTGGTAAGGGAGGTTGAGCACCCAAGAAGACTCAGGCACGGGGACCTCATGAGAATAGGAACAAACAGTCTAGGCCTAGGGAGTGAGGGAAGGGAACCTGGACATTCTCCCTAAGAGTCCATTGGGGAACATGCTTGAAGATTGGGAAGACAGTTTTGGACCAAGGGTAAAAGTAAAAGGGAGATGAATAAATATTGTAGTTTCATTTGGCCTGTCAAAAGGGAGCCAGTCAAAAGGCTGTCTGTGTTTTGGCCCAAGTTTGGATCTGATGAGGATTGAATCTGATGAGGCCCGGGTCTGTCAAGTGCTAGTCCTCTTGGTAAATAATAAAACTTCAGCCTCACCAGAGGAAAGAGGCTACGCCATCTGCTGGCTCCCAGAGTCAACACCAGTTTCTCTTGAAGAGAAAACTCAGAATCATTGGGACCCTTGATGTTTTTTGCCCCCACCCTACGTAGTCACAGAATGTTCTGGATGAGGGTCACCTTGAAGAGACAGGACCTCAAGGAGGGGAAGAAAATAATCAAGGAGTGAGGGGGAGGGGGATCCCACCAACAGCCCCTTCTATCCAAATCTGAGGAGAGAATTAGAACAATGTAGGAAGGAGCTAGAAAGCTTCTCCCTCCCTGAGAAGCCATCCAGTTCTAACCCATTCTCTCTTCGTGAGCTACCAGTGGGAGGAGGGCATATTGGATTTGAATTGTTAATGTTCTCCTTACTAGGACTAAAATGAGGAATTTTGGGCGGGGGGATTTAGTTCAATAGTTCCACCGCCTGCCTTGAAAGCACAAGGACCTGAGTTTGACCCCCAGTACCAAAAAAAAGAGGAATTTTATTTATTTATTTATTTTTTTGGCAAGACTCAGGTCCTAGAATCCCTTATCCCTCTCACAGGCCTTCCCATCTAATCGAGACCTTCCTAATGGGACCAGCCTTGGTGCTTGAAGTCTAGATGTTCAATGAGGACGTATCCAATCCTTTTGAATTGTGACATATCACTAGATTTTGATCAGTGGTATTGGTGACTTCCAGTTCTTCCCCAGAAGTTATTGGCAAATCAAATATTCCATTTCTTAAATTATTGGAACATACCACTGCTCTGTTGATGACTGTAATTTCTTTGTTGTACTGAAATCGTTGTCTAAAAAGCTTTTCTTTTCTTACTCTATTCTTTTCTAAGGAGTTTTGCTTCTTGATTCTGAAGAAATTCTAGGAAAAAAACTTTCTGATCTATCAGCACTGTTTTTCTCTTTTTTTCTTCTTGGTATAAGAAAACTGGGCTTCCAACTTTTCATTTTAGCTTCATGATTAGACTCTCTTTCACTTGTGGTCACATCATCATAGATAATAACTTCCTGAGACCTAAGTGGTAAATCAGGCAGTGAAACTGAAAATGCCCTTAAATTTTCTTTTGACTTGGTTGCCTTCATTTTAAATCTGTCCTTTTCTTTTTTGAAAAACTGCTGCAACCTCTTAAGTGCTTCTTTTCCATCTAAATCTATTTGGGAGGAATTGTTCTTTGTTTTGTAGACATTCTCATACATTTCTTCACTACTTTCTTCTGAAACACTATCTGAGGTAAATGAGCTGGAGAAGACTGACTTGGATATATCTGTCACGGGGCAATCCACATCGTTATATGTGGCCTGTGACACAGAACATGACATAAAGGCCACTGGGTCCTGGGTGTGTGTCGTCAGCTCCAAAGTCTCCACCTGGTCACCCTGGTCTCAGGAGGGCCTGGCCAGGTCCACATCCGCAGGACAGGCCTTCGCTTCCATTGCATCAGTCATGGTTTCCTGCTGTCTAGCCACCATGCTCCATCTGTCTCCGTGGCTGGCGGTCATCTGGATGTCTTCCGGTGTCGCTTCATAAACATCTACCTTGAAAGGCTGCTTTGAATGTGGATCTTGTTCTGAATTTTGATGTTCCAGTCCACATGGGTCTTTTTCCTCATATGTTTATCTTCATCTTCATGTTTAGTGCAAAGTTCTTGATGCAGAAAACTCTTCCAAGGCTTTCGGAGTTCTTCAATTCCAACTTCATATATTGAATCAGCAATTTCTTCTGCAGTGCACAGGTTAATGGAGTTGCCCGAGTGTCTCAGATATGAATTGTTGCCTCATAATTACGTGGTTCTTCAAATTCAGCACTCTCCAGAGGACAGAGGGATTCTTTCATGTGCACTTTGTCTTGGGTCTTGAAGAGAGTGGCTGGCTGCCTCTGGAAGGCCTGGAGGTCTACTGCTGGCAGCTTCAGGGGCTTTGGGGGAGCTGGATCCAGAGACCCCACAGGGGGCAGTGGGTTTGTTCTGGGGAGCTGGTGATGCTGGGTGTCTGGCGGGTTTGCTGGGGCTGGGATGGACAGCTCGAATTCATAAACAGGCTGGCAGGGACCACCTGCTGAGCTCCTAGCAACATTGGGTTTTTCTTGGTTCTTCTTGCCAGCTTGATAACATGGAGAGGGGGTTGTTCAGAGGTGGTGAGTGCTTTTCTTTGGGCCAGCTCCTTCTTGGAAGGGAGCGTCAGGGCCCATTTTGTTTGAATCTTTTCCCTTGGTCTGTGTGGAAGAAGCCTCATGGCTTTTTTGCTCTTCTGGATGGAAGGCCTTGTCCCCACCATTGGTAAGGAGAAGAGCTGAGAACGTCACACATTTCTGAGATGAAACTTTCTCCCACTTCCTGAGCTTGTCTTGGAAGCTGTTGGCCACCATTCCTTTTTCCTCACTGGTCATCTCAATATTTGATGAATTCACATCTAAAAGCAGAGAAGCTTCCTGAGAATTTCTTGGAGAACACACAGCAGGGTTTTCCAAAAGTCCTGGGGAACTTGGGCTCTTCTGAATTGTATTCCTCTGGGTCAACTCCATTTGCCGGGTTTTAAGAGTCTGGGACTCACCACTGGAGCCATGTGATGGCGGCCAATTGTGGTTGGATGTAGGGGTTTCCCATGGGCCAAAATCTGGTGGGGCCTTGTGCATCTGATGTCACCCTTTTGAGAAACACTTGCTGGGAATTTAATAGGTCCTAGAAGAAGTGGAGCATCACAGTTGTGAAATTTGGCTCGAAGTTCCTTGAAGTTCCTTACTCGTTCTTCTTCCATCACCCACCTGTGAGGCAGGGTCTAGGGGAGCAGCCCTGCTTCCCAGAGCTGGATCCTGGGACCCACAGCTTGACCTCCTCTGTCTCTGCCAGCCCGGACTCACCACCTGCTCCATCTGCTCCCAAATGAGGAATTTTTAAAAGGAGACACAGTCATTCCTTGAAGATCCCCTGGGGACCAATTAGACCAATTTTTAAGCCCCAATTTATACACAAGAGCTGAACTGATGTCTATCCTGGACATTTTTTTCTCAGATTAGGGGAACAAGAAATTATTAGAATTGCACCTGTGCTTGCCTGGGAGAGAATCAATCCTCCCGGAGCAGCTACAACAAAACAAAAGTTCCCAAATAAAGATCCTAGATGAAAATAATGTTGGAAATAGGCCAGGGATTTAGCTCAGTGGTTCTGCTGCCTGCCTCACAAGCGCAAGGACCCGAGTTCAATCCCTGATACCAAAATAATAATAATAATAATAATAATGTTGGAAATGACTAGGCCAAATGCAAGATTTAAGAAATTTAATACTCAAAGGGGATTAAAGAGTCAGCTCCCCTCATCCAACAAAACAAAACAAAACAAAACAACATCTCTGAGGCATTTGAGATTCAACAAGAGAAGGAGGAAACCCTTTCCACCTTCTTATAGAGGTTGAAAAACCAAATGAGAAAATATCCCGGACTGGATCCTGAGGGTCAATTGGGGAAAGGCCTCCTCAAAGTTGATTTTGTGACTAACAGCTGGGCTGACATATGAAGAAAGCTACAAAAATTAGAGGGATGACTTGTAAAGGGAACAATCCAAGAGGAAGAGTTCACAATCATAAATATATATGCACCAAACACTGGTGCACCCAACTATATAAAACAAATACAAATGGACATGAAAAATTAAATAAGCACTAATACAATATTAGTGGGGGACCTCAATACCCCACTGTCACAAATAGATAGATCAACTAGACAATAAATAAGCAACAAAATACTAGAACTCAATCAAACTCTTGAACAAATGAACTTAACAGATGTTTACAGTGTGTTCCACCCCACAAAATCTGAATACACATTCTTTTCAGCTGCACAAAGGTTGTTCTCCAAAATAGACTACATACTCGCTCATAGAACATGTTTAAGTAAGTGCAAAGGAATTGAAGTTATTCCCTGTATATTATCAGACCATAGTGTGATGAAATTGGAGATCAATAGCAAAAGAAACCACAAGAGTTTCATAAACACATGGAAATTGAACAACACACTTCTGAATAACTAGTGAGTCACAGAGGAAATTAAAGAAGAAATCAGACAGTTCCTACAATTAAATTAATAATCAGACAATACAACATATCGGAATCTATGGGACACAATGAAAGCAGTCTTATGAGGGAAATTCATAGCACTGAATACTCATATTAGGAAAACAGAACAAGCCTAGTTAAATAACCTGATGCTGAAACTCAAGCGTCTAGAAAAAGAAGAGCAAGTCAAACCCAAAGCTCATACAAGGGAGGAAATTATAAAGATCAGAGCAGAAATCAATGCAATGGCGACTAAGAGAATGATACAAAAAATGAATAAGGCCAAGAGTTGGTTCTCCAAAAGAATAAACAAAATTGACTAAAAAAAAAAATTAGAGGGATGAAATGAGAAGTCAATTGATGAGTTACTTGAAAAAGCACAAAGAGTTTACATAAAAAGAGATGAAGAAAAACAAAAACAGAATAGAAAAATTCTGGTCTCCATTATATTAAAAAAAAAAAAGTGGATGACAGAAAATTAGATTAAGACTCCACATAAGGAGTTAACAAAAGATTTAAGTCCCAGTACCCCACACACACACATACACACCCACATGTAAATATATATAGGCATATATGTCACTATATATCAATATATATACATTGATAAAACTATACAGTGAATGTTTAAATTTTAAAAATTTGTTACAGTAAAAACAATTGTCATTAAACCCCTTAAAATACTCCCCCTCTTCTGAACACACTTGTTCCATCATTCTTGCCACTTTCTGAAGCACTTCCAAAAGTCCTCTTTTGTGGGTATCTTTTTTTTTTTTGGTACCGGGGATCAAACTTGGGTCCTTGTGCTTTCGAGGCAGGCAGCGGAACCACAGAGCTAAATCCCCAGCCCTGTGGGTATCTTTATAATATGTGATTTTAAAAATACAGTAAAAATACAGTAAAAAATACAGTACCAAAAAAAGAAGAAAATAAAAAATACAGTAAATGCTGCTGCCGACTGCCATCTAACAGTAAGGCAGGCTCATAGAAATATTACTGTGTGTCCTCATCCACCTTATTCACCAGATCTGGCACCATGTGACTTCTGCCTCTTCCCCAAAGTCCAAATCACCACAAAAGGTAAATGTTTTGAATCTACTCAGAACATTGAGGCAGTCACGAAAGAGGACTTCCAGAACTGCTTGAGAAAGTGGCAATGGGATAAGTGTACAAAGTGAGGGGGAGTGTTTTGAGGAGGCTTCATAGCAATGTGTCTTTTACTGGAATAATTTTTTAAAGTTTAAATGTTCATCATCTTTTTTTTTTTTTGGTACTGGGGATCGAACTTGGGACCTTGTGCCTGCGAGGCAGGCAGCGGAACCACTGAGCTACATCCCCAGCCCTGTTCATCATCTTTTGAGTCACACTATATATGTGTTGTTGTTTTTTTTTAAAGCCCCAGAATAAAAACAAGACTGGGGATGTAGCTCAGTGAGTGGTAGGGAGTTTACCCAGCATGTTTGAGGTTCAATCTCCAAAACCACCAAAACCTCTTGTAATCCCAGCATTCAGGAGACTGTAGCACGAGGGTTGAGGTGAATTTGAGGCCAGCCTGGGTTCCATAGGGAGACTATCTAAAAACAAAACAAAACAAAAACACTGAGTTGTATACTTAAAAATGGTTAAAGTGGTAAACTTCATATTATGTATATTTCACCACAATAAAAAATGTAAAAACTGCCAGGGGTCTTGGGGCACACCTGTAATCCCAGTTACTGATGAGGCTGAGGCAGGAAGATTGCAAATATAAGTCCAGCTTGGGCAATTTAGTGAGACCTGTCTCAAAATAAGAAATCAAGAGGGCTGGGGGTTTAGCTCAGTGGTAGAGCACCATTCCATCCCTAGTGTCACATGCACACGCACGCACACAACAGAAGGGCTTAAGTTTGGATGTTTGAATTCATTTATTATAAAACTGAGTGGGGATAAGGACAATGTACAGCACATTTAATGAATTCTCTCTTCCCTGGACAAAAAAATGCTTTGTTCCTGAAGGAATCCAGCAAGTACAAAGCAAAGAGCACTCTGGAAGAACATGCTGATAGCAGTGATGGCTTCTCCAGCACACAAACTCAGAGCTTTTTCATTTCTCATGTAACTCAGCACTGGGACCCTGTGTCTCTAGGTGCAGTGGCACCTGTATTCCCAGCTTGTCAGGAGGATGCTCTGAGCCCAGGAGTTCAAGATCAGCCTGGGCAACATTTATGAGACCTCTGCCACATAAATCAATCAATCAGTATAAATTCAATGGCTAAAAAAATCCCAAATTGGGCCGGGGATTTAGCTCAGTGGTGCCACCACCTGCTTTGCAAGCACAAGATCCAGAGTTCAATCCCTGGTACCAATAAATAAATAAACAAATTTTAAAAAGACCCAAATAAATAAACTTCCGTGTTGTAGGGATAGATATTAACACATTTACTTGACTTGAAAAAAGTTACACTCTGGCAGCAAATGAGTCTGACTTAACTGACTGGCTTTCCAGTGAGGACTAGTGACAGCAGTTAGGCTCCACGGCAGCATTCTACCTAAACTCAATGAATTCAATCTACAGCTCCAAACTTCTGAGAAAATACATTTCAAGAGAAAAGTACCTCTCGAGAAATTCAATTGACAGAGGAGTATTGAAATGAACAATGTTCTAGCCCAGCGTGGTAGTGCACACATCTGTAATCCCAGCACTCAGGAGGCTGAGTAGGCCTCAGGAGCTCTGTAAATTCAAGGTCAGCTTGGGCTACATAGTGAGTTCCAGGCCACCTTGGATTGCGTAGAGACCCTGTCTCAAAAAAAAAAAATTGGAATAGAATGTATTATTAAATGTTGCCTAATTTAGCATTAAGTAATGTTCATCTACTGATAGAAATCCATTTTTATTTATTTTTTATTTCTAGAAATGCATTTTTAAAAGAAATCAGCCTATTCATTTCATGATTTAGTTTCAATATAATTTTATGGGGGTTTTTTTGGTTTTTTGTTTTTGCACTGGGAATCAAACTCGGGATCTTGCTCTTGTGAGGCAGGTGCTAGAACCACTGAGCTAAATCCCTGGCCCATCAATATAATTTTTACTTTGTTTAAAAATTATTTATATAATGTAACAATATATTTGTGTTTGATTGACTGCTAATAATAATGATAATTCAATCTGGAAGAAAAATTAAACAAGAGCCCTTTGTCATAGGAAGTAAAAAAAAAAGGTTAAAATTTCAGTATATATAATAAATATTTTTATTGCAGAGAAGTATTACAAAGGATAAATAAAAGATATTGATAAAGAAAAGATTTTCATGCATAAGATATATTACCTGGGAATATATTTCTATGGAGAAAGTGAAATAGAGATACAAATTTAAGAAAACAAAAGAATAATAAAATTCTGTCTCTCTCTCTCTCTTTTTGCTTATCAGTATGGAGGACTGAATACAGGGAGTGCTGAGTCACATCCCCAGCCCTTTTTAACTTTATTTCGAGACAGGGTCTTGATAAACTGCCCAAGCTGGCTTTGAACTTATGATCCTCCTGCCTTGGCCTCCCCAGTAGCTCGGTATGCAATTACAAATGCTCTGTCAGATTTCCAATGGACATATATTTTTATTAGTGTATTTCTATTTTCTAGAACTGTCCACTCCCACCTTTCCCTTACTGTTTGTAGTCACTGCAGGACTTTGCATGAAACTTCTACAGGGGAAAAGAGCTTGAAGATCACTGGTTAGCTTCATCTTTTCAGAAACTTGGGTGTGAAATAGAGAAGAGAAAGACAGCTGGCTGGAGGGAAGTTTAGATCAAAGATGATTTTCCCTGTACTGGAGTTCAAATCCAGGGCTTCATGCATGCTTGGGTAGGGCTCTATGTGCTATGTCTCTAGGCTCCACTTTGATTTTTTAAAGATGGGACATTTCAATATGTTAAGTGTTTTAATACAGAGACTACTTTACAGGCTAGAAAAGAAGCTAAGTTTACCCCAGATTCTGGAACAAGATACAGAAACCTGTAAGTCAGGATGGGCTAGGTTGATAGGGTTTTGGGAGGAGATTTCAATTTTGTTTGTTTGTTATACTCAAGCAGTAAGCAGGCATCCTTGCATCTCAGCAAGCTTAATGCACAAGTTGCTTTTCTCTGGTACTGCACGTCCCGGCGTGGGCCCATATGAGCCTGTTTTTCTTAGCCGGGCTCCATTTCCATAGTACCAGTGCTGGGCAGAAAGAGGATGAACTGCTTGACAGCTGGTAAGAGAAGCATGCATCACCTCAGTGTGTTTCACACATCCTGAGAGGTCCCTGTCCCACAGGAAGCCTGGGTGAAGATCGCTAATGACTACTAGGTATCATCCTCTGCTCTGCAAATAGTTAAATCTTGTAGTAATCTGGTACAGACTTTACCCCAGTCGAGGTGGGGTAAAGTAAAGCAGGTGGGATTTTAAATTCACTTCAGCAGATCTGAGATTGCGGGTTCCGCCTCCGCCACTCTGTCACAGTTGTGTGAGCCCGGAAGGTCCTTTCACTCTTGGGGTCACTGGGGCGGACTGGGTGCTGTTCTGGCTGTGAGATTTTGTGGGGGTAACAGGCCTAGGACTGGAACAAGAGGAGGGGTCGGGGAGCAAGCCCAATAAGGGCCAGAGGTAAAACTTCCCCAGGTTTTCATCCGGGTGCTCATTAGTACCAGCCCGCAAAGGGCAGCCATAATTTTAATCGTGATCTTATAATCTAATTATAGTCGTGATTTTAAAACTCTAGGCGTCAGTCACACTCTCAGCTGCGCATTACAATCACCTGGGGTGATTTTTTTTTTTTTTTTTTTTGTACCAGGGATCGAACTGGGTCCTTGTGGTTGCAAGGCAGGCGGCAGAACCACTGAGCTAAATCCCTGGCCACTTGGGGTGATTTTATAACACGCTTGCTAGCGCCTCGCCCCAATGGGGCTCAAACATCGTGTTGTGTTTTTTGTTTTCCCACCCCTAGAGATGGAAACCAGGCGCTTTACCACTGAGCTACATCCTCATCCCCTTTTAAAATATTTGTTTTGAGGCAAATTTTCGCTAAATTACCCAGGCTGGCCTCGAGCTTGAATTCTCCTGCTTCAGCCTTCTGAGCAGCTGGGATTACAGGTGTGCAACACAATGTCCAGAGAGCACCGGTATTTTCAAAATGTCCCAGTTGTGCTCTTTAAACCCTCACTACTTTTTAAACCCTCACTACTTGTTAGAGGGTCTGGGTGACACCTAATGGGCGCCATAAAGGAGTTCCGGAATTGAACCCTCTCTCCTCCCGGGGGTTGGCGTTGCATGGGGCGGGCAACCTAAAGGGGATTTTTGGGACTTCAGTGGGTTCCTAGCGGGTTCGAGATGATTATCCGGGGCGGGAGGTCGGACGTGAAGGTCAGCTCTGCCCAGACGGCTGCGCAGGAGCGGCTCCAAGTCAGCTTTCAGCAGCAGCAGCAGCAGCAGCGGGGAAAGGAATTAAGATGTGCTCTGTACGTGTACCAACTCCTCACCACGAATGTAACCATCATGGACTGAAAACAGGTACTAATAAAAATAAAATTTAATTAAGAATAGCCACATGACGGACCAATACTATACACTGACAAAAGTGTACACAACAGATTGTAAAGTGAAAAGTCAAGTTATTTTATGAAGAATAAATTAGCCAGGGGCCGGGGATTTAGCTCAGTGGTTCCGCCGCCTGTCTCGCAAGTGCAAGGACCCGAGTTCGATCCCCGGTACCAAAAATAAAATAAATAAATAAAAAGAATAAATTAGCCGGATGAGGGGGCGCACGTCTACTTCCTTCCCTGCACTCTGAAGGCTGAGGCAAGAGGATCGCCTGGGCACATGAGCCAGTCAAGGTCAGCACGAATTACATAGCGAGACCCTGTCTCCAAAAACAAACTAAATAAAAGAAATTCCTCTTCTGTAAAAAGAAAAAATATTAAAATAAGAAGTGACATCTCCAAAAGCACAACAAAGGCGGGGAGGCGGCGGAGGCGGAGGGAAAGGAAGCGAGGGAGGAGTCGGCGGGCGGGAGACTTCCGTGGGCGGCGGCGCGGAGCCATGGCGGGCGCGGTCCCGGTGTGGCTGGACGAGGACGACCTGGGGTGCATCATCTGCCAGGAGCTGCTCAGCGACCCGACCACGCTGCCCTGCGGCCACAGCTTCTGCCGCGCCTGCCTGGAGAGCGCGTGGCGCGCGGGGTCGCCCCGGGCCTGTCCCGCCTGCCGCGAGCCCGCGCCGCGCGCCCCGCTGCGAAAGAACCCGCTACTGCAGCACCTGGCGGACAAGGTCCGCGCCGCCGTCGCCGAGCTGGAGCCCACGCCCGCCCCGCAACCCTCACCGCCGCCGGTAGGGACCCGGGCCGCGGCGCCGCCTCGGGCTGCCTTCCCCCGCCCCCACTCTCCAGGCCCGTTCCAAGTGAAACCGAAACCCACCCTGCAAGTGGACGCGGTGATGGCGCACGCCTGAAATCTCACACTCTGGGAGGCTGAGGCTGGAGGATCGCAAGTTGGAGCCCAGCTCCGCTACACAGTGAGACTGTCTCGCAAGAAAAGTTAGAAAAGAGCTGGGAGAGAGGGGGTGTCACTCAGGGCAAAGGCCGTGGGTTCAATCCCTCGTACAGCCATTCAATCCATCAATAGGAGAATCTTTGGAAATGTTAGAAAAGTATAAAGTCACTCAGCTACATCCACATCTTTCTTTATTTTTGGTACCGGGGATCGAACTCGGGTTCTTGCGCTTGCGGGGTAGGCAGTGGCACTACTGAGCCAAATCCCCAGCCCCCATCCACATCTTTTTTATTTTGAAAGAGTCTCACTGTGAGGGCGATTGTGATCCTCCAGCCTCAGCCTCCTGAATAGCTGAGATTACAGGCAAGTGCCATGCCAGGCAGTGTAACACTTTTAAATCCATTTATCCTTCGATGAACATTTCAATTTTCAGTTGTTTTCAACAGAGTCCGTATTTTCCCTCTCCCCCGCCCCAAGGTCTCTCTCTGCTGGGGACTGAACCCAGGACTCCTCAGTGTGAGCCCACGCTCTACCCGGAGGTACACTCACACGTATTTCTTGCCCTTTCCTATGTGCCTGGGAGCAGAACTGCTGTATCGCCTGGTTAATTCTATGTGAGCTCTGTGGAGGAAGAAGCAACATATTTTCCAGGTTGGCTGCACCCCTGTACATTTCCTCCATCATTGGCAGAGCATTCCGATTTTCCTCTACCCCTTCAGCATTTGTTATTTCAGAGTGTTTTGTTTTTATCGTAGCCTCGCAGCTTTGTACAGGTGTGAAGTGGTACCCATGGTTTTGAATTACATTTCTCCCTTGACCAATGACGTTGAGTGTCTTTTCCTGCAATTATTGACCATCATTTATCTTGTTTGGAGTAATATCAATTCAAGTCCTTTGCCTATTTTAAAAATTTATATATTTATGGTACTGGAGATTGAACCCAAGGCCTTCATACTGAGCTACATTACCAGCCTTTCTTTTTTTTCTTTTTCTCAAGACAAGGTCTTTCTAAATCGGTAAATTGCCCAGGCTGAAATCAAACTTGTGATTCTCCTGCCTCAGCCTCCCAGGGTGCTCAGATTACAAGCACGGTCTGCCACAGCCAGCTTGGGGAACATCTTAGATCCAAATCATAGCATGAGGGCCGGGGATTTAGCTCAGCGGTTTCGCCGCCTGCTGCGCAAGCGCAAGGACCTGAGTTTGATTCCCTGGTAACAAACAAACAAACAAAAAAATCTCCAAATCATAGCATCAGCTTTGCTCTTTTCAAGGTGCTAGTACAGAAGAGTATCGTGGAGGTTGTCCAGGAACTGACAGCGCTGGTGGGGAAGCTGGTGGACATTACCAAGAGCATCCAGAGGCAGAGACCCCTCTCCAGACCCGGACTGGCTGAGAAAGTGAGCACCGGGGCTAGCAGCCCCTAGGGAAGAGGCGGGGGTGGGGCAGCTTTCTGCTGGAGCAATGTGAATGTGTGGAGAGCCAAAGGCCGCTGAGTGTCTCGGTCTTTTACTACCAAATGGGTGCTTGGAAGTTCGCTGCGTGGAAGGTGAGCTATGGAAGCCTCAGAAGTGACCCACCTCTCCAGCTGGGCCCCACCTCCTCATGCTACCCTGTGAACGTCAGTGGATTAATCCACTGTTGCACATAGCAGCCCATGACCCAGTCACCTCTGCTAGAGTCTCTTAATCCAGTCAAATTATCAACGAAGATTAACTAGCACAATGCACAAATACAGCTGCAAGCTGGCACCCACCAGGGAAGGGGGGCAGTTTGCAAACAGGGCCTTCACCCCAAGCTACTTCCCCCACCCTTTTAAATTTTTTATTTTGAGACAGCTTCACAGCTGGAGGTGGTAGCACATACTTGTAAGGCTGAGGCAGGAGGATCATTGTGAATTTGAGGCCAGGCTGGGCTACATAGAGAGCTCAAGGCCACTCTGAACTGCATAGTGAGACCTTGTCTCAAAAAACAAAAAGAAACAAACAAAAATGTCAGTCTCACTAAGTCACTAATCTGTTTAGGCTGGGCTCAAACTTGGGATCCTCTTGCCTCACCCAGAATGCTGGGAGTACAGGCATGCACTCAGGCTGGAAACATCTTGAGCTCTAGATGACTTTCTTTCTTCTCATCTTTTCCTCTTGCATATCTCAAAAGCAAGTCTCATTTAACACACTCCAAAGTGCTCTTCCTCTGGGGTTCCCCATCTCAGAACTGGCCCCAAGTGCACAAGCCAGGGACCCGGAAGTCACACCGCCTCCTTCAGTACCCTAACAGACAGCACACTGGCTCCAAGGCCTGCCTAAACATCATTCAGTCACCACTCTGGAGGTCCTTTGAAAGCTCTCATGCAAGCCTGCGACAAGCCTTGCCTGTACTGCCATCACAGGGCTGTCAGTGCACCACTCCACCTGTTCCAGTCTGTTCCTCTCTGGTCATCTGAGTGACCAGACCATCTCAGACATAAATCTGATCATGTAACTCATCTGCTCAACACATTCCCATGACGTCTGTGTTAATCAGCTTTCCGTTACTGTAACAAATACCCAAGGCAATGAACTTGTGAAGAGAAAAGGTCCTAACCCTGATCAGGTGGATGGATTGCTCTTAGGCCTCTGATAGGGGTGGAGTGAGACCGCTCACCTCATAGTCAGGGACCAAAAGAGAGAAAGAGGAGGGGCTGGGGCCCCACAATCCCTTTCAGGGCAGCCTTCCCATGACCTAAAGATGCCAAGCAGGACCCCCCTCCCAGAGGTTCTACAGCCCCCCAGTAGTGCCACCTGGGGGTGCAGTCTTTTACACCTGGGCCTTTGGGAGACATTTAGATCCACACTCAAGCAACATCTGTTCACTTAGGATTAAGACCCAGATCTCACAGGACTAGCAAAGCTCAGTAGAATCTGCCCTTGTCGCCCTCTCCTGCTCCTCTCCTCTCACCTCCCCCGGCTCTGTGAGCCCTGGCTGCGCTGGTCACACCCAATCCTACAGTAGATCTTGCATCTTGTCGCTATAGGAGCCCTATCACAGGATTCTTTTCCTTTACTGCATCCTCCAGGCAACGTCTTCTCTTCCACACCCTAGCTATGTTGTCCTTTCCTGGGAGAGAAATGATCGCTGATTTTCTTGACAAATTTAATTCCCTTGCTAGAGACTCTTAGGATTTAATGTATCTTTTCAATTGTGGCAATTATCACAGCTCCAACTTTATAAAGCTTTGTGCCATACTTTATTAATATCTGCCCCCTTCTTCTGCACTGGACCCTGCTTCCTGAGGATAAGGACTTTGATGCTTTTGTTTACCATTGTATTCCCAGGCCCTTGTATGGTACATGGCACATACAGTAGGTACTCAACTGAATGAGTGAATCTGGGCCTTTCGGGTGCCATGTGCTAAGATACAAAGTCTGCAGGTCTGACTTCCAGACCTAACATTGCCACTTCCTCAGATTTATGACCTTGGGTGAGTCGTCTGTCTTCTGAGCCTCAGGTTCTTATCTGTGATAGAGGAGTGAAGATTCAAGACAGGCAGTGGAACCACTGAGCTAAATCCCTGGCCCAAGAGGAGTGAAGATTCATGGTCTGCCACCTCCTTAGTTTTTTGTGATAATTTTTAAAAAATCTTCTGCTGAGTGGTGCCACATGCCTGTAATTCCAGCACTCAAGAGGCTGAGGCAGGAGGAATGCTGTGAGTTTGAGGCCAGCCTGGGCTACATGGTAAGTTCAAGGCCAGCGTGAATTACAAGCAAGGGTACAAAGCAAGGCTCTATTCCAGAGAGAGAGAGAGAGAGAGAGAGAGAGAGAGAGAGAATCTTCTCTTTAAAAATTGCTTGAGTTGGGTGTGGTGATGCAGGCCTGCAATCTTAGCACTCGGGAGGCTGAGGCAGGAGGAATGCTGTGAGTTTGAGGCCAGCCTAGGCTACATAGTGAGACCCTGTCTCAAAAAACAAAACAAAACAAGTGCTTGTCAATGTGAATACAGAGGATGATGTTATTAAGCATAGCAATTTAGTTGGTCTCCATAAACTTTAACTTTTTTCTGTGAATTCATGGCAAACTTCCTGCTCCCCAGTGCTGGAATTACAGGGTGTGCTTCCAAGAACTTTAACTTCTTGAAGTAAAATGGGAATAATACACCTACCTTGGGAGCCTAGTATGCAAATTAGAGATGAGAAATACAGATGGAAAGTACTCTTTAAGTAGAGTGCGTACTGTTGCTGTGTTTGGTGAAAAGGATGCAGAATGGATTCTGCAGAATTGGGAAGGAAAGCCAAGTGCTGAAGTAGATGACCAGATTAGAGGTTGTATTGAGGAATAACAGGACCTGAGGTTAAAGAAAGTCAGGGAGCATGTATTGGAAAGCCCCAGAGTGGAAAGCAGGATACCAGAAACATATTTACATTGCCTCTTGAGAAGTGACATTATATAATGACAGAGTTTGTAGATAATCCTGACCTGTGGCTTACGTTAGTGACTATTTTTTGTATTTGGTTTGGTTTGACTTTTTAAAGATAAAATCTCACTATTTAGTTCAGGCTGGCCTTGAACTCACTAAGTAGCCCAGGCTGGCCTAGAACTTACAATGATCCTCTGGCCTCAGCCTTTTGAGTGTTGGGGTTATCGGTGCCCTCCACCACACCCAGCTGTTTGTTTTGTCTGTTTTTTTTTTTTTTGGTACCAGGGATTGAACTCGGGTCCTTGTGCTTGCACAGCTGGCGGCAAAACCACTGAGCTAAATCCCCAGCCCAGTTTTGTCTGTTTTTAACTCTCTGTATTTGTTTTGTAAAGCTCTTTTAATGGGATTAAAATATTTTTTAAAATAGGTATTACAGGGCCTGGGATTTAGCTCAGTGGTTCCTCTGCCTGCCTCAAAAGCTGAAGGTCCTGAGTTCAATTCCCGGTACCAAAAAAAAAAAAAAAATAGGTATTACCCAGTAGATTCATGTATTGTACACATGGAAAGAGAAGCCTGGAAAGTATTGGAACATATGTAGCATTTTAAAGCGAACTAATTAGGCTAGGGGAGTAGTTCTGCCACAGAGCACATGTTTAAAATGCACAAGGCCCTGGGTTTGATCCCCAGCAGCAAAAAAATAATAATAATAAAAGCAAGAAAGCAAGCAAATTGAATTAGAACCTCTGTAACCCCCATTTGGTACATATTTTCCTTAGTCACGGTGGGGATGGAACCCAGGGCCTTGCAGCTGCCAGGCAGTACACTACCATTGAGCTGTCACCAGCCTCAATTTTGAGAATCTAGTTTTGTTTTTTAAAATCTTCTAGGAATTAAATGGAAAATTATAGATGGATGTTGGAACTTGAATATAATATTTGATGGGTTCCAGTGGGGACTTTTGTTTGTTATTTGTGATTCATCAACAGGCCTTGTCTTCCCTGGCTTCTCTAACACTGATGACTTCTAGCACATCAGAGAGGGAAATGAGAAAGATTCTCCGGGACCTCGAAGAAATTCAAGAAAAATTACATGGAAACTTCTCATGGAAAGAGGCCCCTGAAGCACAAACACAGGGTGAGCTGATTTTCTTAAGGAGAAATAAGTGTGGAAGTGGAGTGGAAATGACAAAGCACTCCATAGCTTTGTTCTTTGGGGACAGGGTCCCAGAGCCTGGGGCTCCTTCATTGCTGTGGTGGTGTAAATCAAGTAGGAGAGGGCTGAGGAATGTCTGTAGCGGATCAGTTGGGGTTTTGTTTGTTTTGCTTTGTTTTTTGGGGGGGGTACTGGGGATCGAACTTGGATCCTTCCGCTTGCAAGGCAGGCAAGCGGAACCGCTGAGCTAAATCCCCAGCCCTGTTTTTTTGTTGTTTGTTTGTTTTGGTACCAGGGATCAAACTCAGGTCCTTGCACTTATGAGGCAGGCATCGGAACCACTGAGCTAAATCCCTGGCCCTCCTGTTTTGTTTTTTGAGATAGGATCTTGGTCTGTAATTCAGGCTGGCCTTGAACTCACTGTAACCCAGAATGGAGCTGAATTCTCAGTGATTCTCCTGCCTCAGCCTCCTGAGTGCTGGAATTATAGGCATGCACCACCACACTCAAGCTGGTTACTTTAAAAACAAAAATAAAAGTTGTGGCTTATTTTCTTTGTATAGTAAATAAAACCAAATTGTTTAGATTGTATTGTAAAGAAACTTCTCAATAACTAAGTTTATATAGCAGGTATTTATGTACAATCACCTTCTTAATTAAAACAATTTAATTAAATTAATTTTTTTCCTTCTATACAAGCTATCATACATTTTATAAAACCTATTATAAATACTGGGTAAGCAATCTGGTTTAGACCCAGAGAGATTAATTTATTATGAAATTTCATCTCCTTAATACTTACTAGTATTTAGCATTTAGGAGGCTGAGGCAGGAGAATCACTGCCAGTTCAAGGCTAGCCTCAGCTACATAGTGAGTTCAAGGCCAGCCTGAACCACATAATAAGACCCTGTCTCAAAAAAAAAAGTTTAAAATAGTAAACAGTTATATTATCTCCCCCATCAATAGGGACAAAAAGCATTAGTGAGTATTAGTTTAAAAAGTAAGGGGGCTGGGGATTTAGCTCAGTGGTTCCAGTGCCTGCCTCGTAAGCACAAGGTCCCGAGTTTGACCCCTGGTACCAAAAAAAAAAAAAAAAAGACTCATTGCCAAGAATGATGGGGTAAAAGTGTTCAAAATGAGGGGGAGTAGTTTGAGGTTTTAAAAGTCACCGTATTTTTGATCAGTTCTTGCATGTGCCACATTTGGTAGCAGTATCCATTGATGGATACTTGGATTGCTTCATATCCACCTGAGTTTTCAGAACTGCCTCTGCTGGGCAGTTTGCCTGTTCTTATGCCCTAAGTTGTCATAGCTCATATCCTACACAGGGCTTTTCATTTCATTGGTCTGCATCTTAGATTTACTTTATGCAGCTGTCACTTCACAATCCAAATGAGGGAAGGTTTCATCTTCACCCATTCTAATGCTTCCCTCAGCTTTCCTGCTCTCCCTAGATGGTCATTGAGAGCACAGATAGGTGCTTTAAGCTAACAGTTCAACTTGGTGTGTTGAGAGGGAGGTAGGAGGTATTGTTGGCAGTTGAGATGAAACTTACACCACATGAGGTGTAAGTCCACATGAAGGTCATGAGTATTCTGGGTGTCAGAGTGCTGCCATCCCCTGAAACTCTATTAGTTATTTATTTGCTAAATAGGCATCAGACACCTTCTAGATATGGGGCTCATGTGAGCCTTGGTGCTAAGAACATGAAGATGAGTGAAATTCCCTCCAGTGAGTAGCTTAGGGCGTAGCGAGGAGTCAGACAGTGAAATGTGCACAGTGAGAACTGGGGCTGGGCGTGCCTGCATGAATACTGTCTGATCAAGTCCTGCTGCTCAGAAATGTGGTGATGGTGAGGGAGGTGGGCCAGGTGTCTGGATCGTGCTATCTGGACACTCTCATTTGGCTTTTTCTGGTGGGATTCCTCCTCCTCATTTTTTTCATTCCTTCGTGGAACTCCTAGAAGCTCCATCTTCCTCCTCGTGCCCACGGCCTGACCAGAGCTGCCTTGAACACAAGAGGACCTCCCAGTTTGCTCAGTGTAAGTATGTGGTCCACTTAAAGCTTGTGTTTGGCCCACTGCAGAGAGGAGCTTCGAGAACGTGCTGTGCCCATTTCCCTGATGCAGAGCCCACAGATTTGCTCCCCAGACTGGGTCCCTCCACATTTGGAGGTCAATCCAAAGGCAAAGACAGTTGAGATCCCCAAATTATAGGCTCAGCTACACCCATGGGCACTCAGATCCCAGAAAACCTGTGACCCAGACAATCCATGCTGGGCCACCGTTCACAGCCAGTTGCCTGTTTCCTCATCTGCATCAGCACTGCTGCTGCCCTATGGATTCTGGAGCCATAGGTTTGACTCCCAGCAGCTTCGATCATTATCTGCACGAACTGGGATGAGTTACTAACTAAGCCTCTTAGAGCCGAAGTTCCCTCATCTGTAAAATGGAGATGCTAGCAGTACTTCTCTTGTGGGATTGCCATGAGGGTCACAGGGGTGTCTGTGTGTAAAGTGCCTGCAGTACTCATGGTATACAAATGTTAGCAAGCATTGATTTACTCATAAGATGCATTAGGGGCTGGGGTGCAGCTCAGTGGTAGTGTGCTTGCTTAGCATCCATGAGGCTCTGGGTTGATCCCCAGCACTGTTTTTTTTTTCCTAAAGGAAACAATATAAAATATACAAAATGTGTAAGATATGGACCTTTACCAGAAAGCTGAAGTTTAACTAGAGAGATACAGACAGCTATGGTCCAACTCATAAAGCACAGAGGTGTTGAGAAAGCAAGAGGTGACTGTGCTGGGTGGGATTCAGAGAAAGTATTCTGAAAGATAGAAAAGTAAAATATAAGGCAGGAGTGAGGTATTGTTGCTATAATAGCATAAAGCGCATGGCAGAAAATTGGAAGTTGATGTACCAATTTTAGTGCCTATAAGAGTAAAACACCAAAAGATACAATGTTGCATTTGCTGTTGAGGGCCCTGTTAGCATGGAAGATCAAAAGCTAACTTGGCTGTGTTCTTGTGGTTGTGTTTTCTCCTCCCCAGGGGCCATCACACCGACCTTTGACTTGAGAAGTCTGTCCTGTAGCCTGGAGGTGTCTAAGGATTGCCGGTCAGTGACAGTGTGTCACGGCCAACAGAACTATCCCTGGAGTCCCCAGAGGTTTTCAGCCAGCCAGGTGTTGTGTTCCCAGGCCCTCTCCTCTGGGCGGCAGTACTGGGAAGTGGACACTCAGTACTGCAATGACTGGGCAGTTGGGGTGGCTTCCTGGACCATGGCCAGGAACCAGATGCTGGGAAGGACTATGGACTCCTGGTGTATTGAATGGAAGGGGACTGGCAAGCTCTCTGCATGGACCATGGCCAAGGAAACTGTCCTTGGATCAGACAGACCTGGGGTGGTGGGCATCTGGCTGGACCTGGAGGAGGGGAAGCTTGCCTTCTACTCAGTGGCCAATCAGGACAGCCTTATATATGAATGTGAGGTCTCGGCTTTCTCTCCCCTGCACCCTGCCTTCTGGCTGTTTGGCTTAAGGTGGGGAAACTCCCTGATCATAAAGCAAGCAAGGGTATAAAGATCCCTCATGGGTTAAAATGGTAGTTTCCTGGTCTCTCTCCCTGCATTCAAGTAGGTTGGCAACTTGACCTAAGATCATGCTTTGTTTGTTTGTTTGTTACCTGGGCTGGGGGCTTTGGGTCTTGGCCTCAGCAGATTCAGTGACCCATGTGGGCACTGAGCTATGTTAACATGATTGAACACCAGGAAAGCCTGGGACACTGCAGCCAGAGGGAGCCCCCCTCCTTGGCAGTACTCCACTGCTGGGAGAATGAAGCCCTGTCCTCAGGACTCCCCTGGGGCAGGGTCACCTTGGACCCTGCTCTGTGTGCCTCTTTCCACGACTGACTTCATTCTGTGTCCTTTCACGGCAATAAATCATAACTGTGCATTCAGTGAGTCCTTGTAGTGAATCATCAAACCTGGGGGTGGCCTTAGGAACCCCTAAATATAAAGAGCATGGTTTACTTATCAAAACAACACACACTTATTATCTCAGTGTCTGTGGGTCAGGAGAAGGGCATAGTTTACAATCTGCCTCTCACAAGCTGCGATTGACACATCTGCTGGGCCCACAGTGGAGTCATCAGAGGCTCAACCAGGATCCGCTCCCAGGCTCAGGTGTGGGCAGCACTCAGTTCCACATGCAGGGCTGCAGGGTAGAGAGCCTGGGTGCCTTGCTGGCTGCTGCCGGAGGCCATCCTCAGCTCTTTATCCCCAGGGCTTCCTCAGCACAGCTGTTTGCATCCTGAAAACCAACAAGGGAGAGAAAGTCTCCTAGCAATTCAGACATGAAATTGTATGTGATAATCACGTAGACACCTGATGGCACACATCCCATTGCCTTTTCCCTGATCTGTTGGTTAGAAGCAAGTCACAGGTCACAGCCACACTCAAGGGGAGGGGACAACACGAAGGCATGAACACCGGGAGGTGAGGTGCAGGGGGGCCATGGTGGTTTGGCACAGGGTGTCGTTTCATACTTGATTTCTTGTGGTCTGAAAAAACCATTTTATTATATAACAAAACAGATACAGAAAACTACACAAAAGACATGTGAACCTTAAATACCCTTGTAACTACCATTCAGGTCAAGAAATAAAACCTACTACCATCCTCAAAAGCTTCTTCATGGGGGCCGGGATTTAGCTTAGTGGTGCCACTGCCTGCCTCAAAAGTGCAAGGTCCTGAGTTCAATCCCCGGTACCAAAAAAAAAAAAAAAAAGGCTTCTTCATGGGCCCAACCACAAAACCCTCCCTCTACTGAAAGCAATCCTGACATTCCCACTAACCATTTCCATGCCTTTCTCTAGAGCAGTGATGGTGAACCTTTGAGAGCTTTCAGTGATACCAACAGCCCACTTTGTACATGTGAGGCAAGCCCTCTATTGGTGAGCTACAATCCCAGTCCTTTTATAAAATTTTATTTTGAGGCAGTCTTACTAAATTGCCCAGGCTGGGCTTGAACTTCCAATCTTCCTGCCTCAGCCTCATAGAGTTGCTGAGTGACACAGGCATGTCACCACACCAGCTTAGTCTTGCCCAGTTTTTAAAAATTAGTATGCCTTTTTAAAAACAGCTTTGTTCAGATACAATTTACATCCTATAAAACTCACCTACTTAAACTGTACAAACAAATGCTTTTTAGCATATTCTCAAAGTCATGAAACCACCACTGTGATCTAAAGTTTGGAGCATTTTTATCAACCCCAGAAAAAACTCATACCTTTCATCAGTTGGGAGTCCTAAGTCTACTAATTTACATGTCTCCCTACATCTCCCTTTCTTTCCCTAGCAGTTCTTCTTTCTTTTTTTTTTTTTTGGTACAGGGGATTGAACTCAGGACCTTGCTCTTGCGAGGCAGGCACTGGAACCACCGGAACCACTGAGCTAAATCCCTGGCTCCCTAGCAGTTCTTCTGTAGAAGGACCCCCAGCTACATTAGCACTGGTTTTGTTTTGGTTTTTTGGTTTGTTTTTTTTTGGTACCAGGGATCGAACTTAGGACCTTGTGCTTGGGAAACAGGTGTAGTGCCACTGAGCTAAATCCCCGGCCCCCGTGTACATCAGCAATGGTTTTGAAGATGCTTGTGCAGCACCACTGGGCTGGCTTGAGCAGAAGGCCCTGGCGCACAGAGCAGCCAGGAGCCTTGGACCTTTCTCCTCTGTAAAACGGAGGCGATTATTATTGACACTTTCTGATCTTTCTCTCAGAGTTGCTCAAAGAATTAAAGTAACAAGTGAGGCAATTTGAAGGCTGCAAGGGTGATTATAACCAGAGTGACAGTGACAGAACTACAGCTTGGCTTCTAACATCTTGAGATTCACAACTAGTTTATACATATATCCTTGAGGAGAGAGGTGAGCCGCACCCCCCCCCCATCTACTAATTTGCTTTGAGCCTTCTGACCAACCCATTCATGGGGAGGACAGGAGCATACAGGGTTAGTGGTTTCTCCAGGGTTCTCTGGTCTCAGCAGAGCTGGGATCAGGCCGAGTTTTCCCCCTCTTACATCTCTGGCTTTTCTATTGCCCTCTGCTCATGTCCCACATAAAAGCCAAGGCCAGGCTTCTTCTTTGATGGGATGCGGCTAGCTTTGAGGTCATGAGATGCTTTTTTCCCATCTGATTGCTGGTGGTCATTGCCATTACTAAAAGTGCCTGGACTAAGCAGGGACAGGACTTCTCTCTGAGCCAGATAACACTAAAAGACTTTCTAAGGCTAGGGATGTAGCTCAGCGGTAGAGCGCTTGCCTAGCATGTGCAAGGCCCTGGGTTCTCTGCCTTCACTTTCTGCTTTATAGAGCTTTTATTATCTCAGTGTCACCTTGATATTTGCCTTGTTGCCAAAATTCAGAATTTAGAGAGCAGAGTTTTAGACTCCTGATGTCCTTTGATTAGATACCATACTCTCAGGGGGTTGGATAATGGGGCCTTGGTGATAGTGGGGTTTATCTGCTGGCTACAAGATTTCTCTACACAAAAGCCAGAGCACAAGAGTCACAAAAGTGGGGGGTAGAGGTTACCATGTTTGTTTCCCCTGCTTTTGTCTCACATTTATCATCAGCATATTCCCTATAGCACAGTGTGGAAAAGGGCATCTTTCCCTCAATCAAAACAGAAAATCCTAGCCAGGGATTTAGCTCAGTGGTTCCAGTGCCTGCCTCACAAGTGCAAGGATCTGAGTTCGATCCCCGGTAAAAAAAAATCGAAAAAAACCCCCAGAAAATCCTCCAAGAAGAAAAACCAGAATGCCAGCAGATGAAGGACCTCTCACTTGGGTCTGCATTGTGCGGTGAGGAAATCATTCACTCATGGACCAAGTTGGAAAGACTTACCACGGGGATTGGCTGAGTCTATTCTGGCTCCTGAACAGAATACTATAGGCTGAGTGGCTTATAAATAACAGGGATTTATTTCTCCCAGTCTGGAGGCTGAGAGGTCCAAGGTCAAGGTGCCAGCAGACTTGGTAGCTGATGGGGATAATTCTCTAGTTTCTCTTTTCACATGGGAATTAATCCCATTATGAAGGCTCCAACCCTATGACCTAATGAAAGTCCCCCAATACTATCATACTGGGAAGCTAGAATTCAGTATCTATGTATGTAGGTATCTATATACATAGATATATAGTTAGATAGATAGATCTTAATTTATATCTCCATTCTTTTCCTAAGGGGACTCAGGGCTTTTAACAGAAAAGGGAGGCTCTTCAGTTGTATTTACTATTATCCTGAAGATTGGATTTGATGTGGGATTTCCCTTCCTGACAAGCCACAATTTTTTTTTTTTTTTTGGTATCGGGGATCAAACTCGGGTCCTTGTGCTTGCGAGGCAGGTGGCAGAACCACTAAGCTAAATCCCTGGCCCTCACAAATTTTGTTTTTAGGCCTGAATGTTTCCCAGACTTCAGGTGTTCATGTGCCACCTGCGTGATTCTTATCACATCTGCATATCTCCTATATTGTACTTAATGAATGTTTTTTTCCTAAATCAACTCACTTTCACCCTCTCAAGTATTTATTTCAGAAGAAATATCACTTTTACTCGTGTAGATGAAAACAGAAGCATGTGTTTTAGGTAGGTTATTCATTCCTAGACAAATTTCAAGCAAAATAAAGCGATGTGACTAGCTTGGTATTGTCTTCTGTCTAAGGCTCTGAACTGGGACTTGTGGGGTGAGGGGGACTCCCGGGGGCTCCCCAAGGAGATTATTAGATGTTAGAGATTTACTAGGATTTCACCTTGACTTAATCAGGATTGAAGATAAGAGAAACAGGAAAAGCTGCCAGGTGTGGTGGTGAATAATCCTAGCACTCAGGAGGCTGAGGCAGGAAGACTGATGTGAGTTTGAGGCCAGCCTGGGCTACACAGTGAGTTCAAGCCCAGCCTGAACTACATAGCTCATAGCAAGATCCAGTCTCAAAAACAAAAAAAGAAAGAAAGAAAGAGGTAATGCTTATAGCTTATAACAGAAGGAAAAACTTTCTGGATGCAAAAGTCACTGTTTCTCAGTTTCTCTGTACAGTGTACAGTTACCACTTTTCCACCTCTTTGGGAACAAGAATCTAAGAGATAAGTCTGATGCAGTAGAATCCCTCTGTCTTCCTCTTTCCAGAGACACCTGGGTTTTCACATTGGTCCCGATTCTTTCATAGCCACCCCTCCCCTCTGAAGGGCTGTCTCTTCTCTTCCTACTCAGTGAGGCTGGTTCACCTTTATTGTTGAAAGCATATGCCTTGAGAGACAGAACCTCATGGCTTTGAGCAGTGACAATCTCCAGGACATAGTGTTTGGCCTTCCCATGATTTTTATTTTCCCTTATCATTTTCCGTATCAGTTAGGCACCAAGTTCTGTAATTTGATTTTGCTGCTTCAAAAAAATCTCAACTCTAGTCCTTCTCTTCCCTCTTTATCTCTTTATCCACACTCTCATTCATATTCTCTGTCTCTCTCTTTGTCTCTCTGTCTCTGTCTCTATCTCTGTCTGTCTCTTTATGTGTCTCTGTCTGTCTATCTCTCTTATTCTGTCTGTCTGTCTCTGTCTCTGCCCCCTGCCCTGTCTCTGTCTCTCTCTCTCTTTCTCACTAGTGATTGAACCCAGGGTGTTTGCATTGAGCTATATTTATATTCCTAACCCCTTTTTATTTAAGATAAAATTTTGAGGCAGGGTGTTGCTAAATCACTAAATTGCTCAGGCTGGTCTCCAATTTGTAATCCTCCTTCCTCAGCCTCCTAGAGTGCTGGGATTATAGGCATGAGCCACCACACCTGGCTTCTTGCAGGGTATTTTAATTTGAGTCTGTAAGGAAACCAAAACCAAAATGTCCTTCGTCCTAGTCTGTACACTCTAGGCAACATAGAATGTTTCTGTGACTCTAGGCACATGGGGGTTGTTTCCCCATACACCAAGCAAGCAGTTTTGCAGTGGACACTAGCTGGATATCCCATAACTTAACTCCTTTCTAACACTATCCTATGTGGTGCTAGCATCAGATCCCACAGGTTGAGAGCTCAGTAATCTAAGATGCCAATCACAAGCTCCAAGTTGTAATCTGTGCTTCTGACTGCCTGGCTCTAAACCAGAGGTCCCATGATCTCTTCTTTGGGTTTGGACTGATTTTCTAAGGCAGCTCACAGAACTCAGGGAAGCACATACTTGTTTACTTGTCCATTATAAAGGATATTACAGAAAACACAGATCAGCCGCCAGATAGAAGAGATGCACAGGAAAAGAATGGACTTCCACCCTCCAGGGCCCTCCACATGTTCAGCTGTCTAGAAGCCCTTGGGACTCAGTCCTGTGGGGTTTTTATGGTTTTTATGCATAGACATAACTGGTCAGATCACAGTGGATCAACTCCATATTCAATTCTTTGATCATGCCTTGGTCTTTCTGGTGATTATCCCCATCCTGAAGTTCTCTAGGAGACCCCAGCCACATTATCTCATCTTCATACAAGAGACACTCTTACCACTCTGGAGATTCCCAGGGGTTTTTTTTTGAGATACAGTCTCACTTTGTAGTTCAGGCTGGTCTTGAACTCACTATGTAGTTCAGTCTGGCCTCAAACTCAAGGCAATCCTCCTGTCTCTGCCTCCCAAGCACTGGCATTACAGGCATGCTCCACTCTGCTCGGCTATTCCCATGGTTTTAGGAGCTGCATGTCCAAAATGGATGAAGACCAAGTATATATTTCACAATATCATTACATATATAACAATATTATATAATATATATAATGTTATAATAAAATAGAGTTGGTCTTCCGTATCATCAGGTTCTGTCCAAACCTCTGAATTCAACTACAGATCAAAAAAAAATTTAAATATTGTATCTGTACTGAAATATATGGACTTTTTTGAGTCATTATTCCTTAAACAATACAGTATAGCAACTACTTACATAGGATTTACATTATATTGGGTTTTGTAAGTGATCTAAATTTAAATACAAGAGCATGGGCAAGATTGTATGCAAATATTATACCATTTTATATGACTTGAACATCCTTAGATTTTGGTATCTGAAGGGAGGGTCCTGGAACCACTCCTCTACCTATACAGAGACATAATTCATAATTATACATATACAGTATACATAATATATGTATATATATATTTCTTCTTTTGAATTATTGTCAAGGAATATACTTAATTCTGGTGACTTATTTGCAGAGGCAAACAATTTATAAATATACTATTCCATGGAATATTTTGTTTTGCAGAAATGGCCTGGAGCCTAAAAATTTTTGAGAATCACTGGCTAGTGTATATATAAGTCAACAAAAATATTAATGTCTCCAAGGTGATTAAAAATTGCATGAAGAAAAAAAATTGCATTAAGTACATTTTTTGCCTTTCAGAGTTTACAGTTTGGTGGGCAGGGTGCTCAGTTTTCCCTGGAGGGCAATGCAAGTTAGCAAATGAGTTCCAAATTTAAAATGCAGCTGTTAGGGTGCATATGTGAGCCCAGACTACATGCTAAGCAATATGATGAATGATTTACCAGCATTATTTTATTTCATTCTTAATACAGCCCTGTGAGGTGGCTCCATTTTACAGATGAGGTTTATTTTTTTCAGACCTACCTATGTATTGCAGCACCACTAGTATTGTTATGCAGCTAACAAAGTATTGAAGAAGAAATGTAGACTTCAGGACACATGCTCTTAAGCACTCCATTAGGGAATTCAGGCCATTTAGGGGGACAATGGCCAGAGAGGTTTCTCAATATCAATTATCTCTTAATTGAGGGCATTTGGTTTCCATTGTATCTGAAAGGAGCTTGAGAAAATTAAAAAGAAAACCAAATGCAGCCTCATCAACAGATGAGGCTCTTGTCTGGAAATTTTCTCCCAACACAGTTATAAACAAATGCCTTTTAATAAGTAATTGTGCTGAGTGATGTACCTTCAGGCCAGATCAAGCAAACAGAATCTATGTCCTCTAGAGACTGACCCTTGGGACTCTGCAGAGGACATGTTTGTTTGAACAGTGAACCAAGAGCAAGGGCACGAAAAGCAAGATAAAATATCTATCTGGTCTCCAGGCATTGGACTTCTCTGCTTTACCAGAGCAGGCTTGGGAGGAAAAGAAAGAGGTCTCCATGGAAGGGGTGGGAGACGAAAGTGGAGAACAGGTGGATGATGGATGCTGCCTTGGGCTTAACTTGAGAGACCAAAGATAGATGGGTCTGATGGATGGTACTGATGCCAACTCAAGTCTTATTTGGCCTCCTGCCCAGGGACCGTGTCTAATGCACCAATCAGAGATGGAGCACTTGTCCCACCCCGTGGCAGGCATTTATCAAACACTATTTCTTCCACCCAGCTAGTCTGCCCACTGGCTTGGGCTGTTCCAATGGCCTGGGACTCAGAGAGAGGCTGTGTTGCAAGTTTTCCCTTTGATAAGCACACGGAATGGGTCCTCTTATTTCCTGGCAAAAGCACTTGGCTCTGACCTCCCAGTGCCCATGAATGGTACTGGGATGAAGCCTGTCTTGTGAAGGTGGAACCCCTCCTAGCATTCTAGAAGAACCTTCCGTCAGTGTCTTCTAGATATCAATCTGTTTTCTTGGTTTAATCCAATCTATTTAATATACTACAGTAAGTCTATAACATCCCAACAATAAATTTCACTGCCAACAACTCCATTCCCTGACTTCTGTTTGGCTGCAGTGTATGTCAGTATGGAGCTCCATTCTCAGGCTCAGAGAGGTAGACAGAAATCAGTTCCTTCACAATTTATTTTAGTTTTTAGTAGAGTCATGCCTTGGTACTCGACTGCTTTGAAACTTGTCGCATTTGGTCTTGGACTCATTTTGATGTGAAAAATTTGTCCTGGCAATCATCATTTGTTTGGTACTCAATGTGCAGTCTAGAACTTATTGTGTCCATCACCTCATGACTTGCTACCCTTTCCAGCCAAAACAATTTGGCAGTTTCCAGGCCTCTCAGAACCAACTAATGATAAGTACCTAGGAACCTCTGTATTTATATATCACTATCACTGACCGTGTACCAGGCACCATTTTTTGGGGGTGGGGGGTACTGGGGATTGAACTTAGGACATTGCACTTGCAAGGCAGGCACAGTCCCACTGAACTAAATCCCCAGCCCCAGGCACCATTCTTAAGGATTTCCTATTAGGTTAAATGAGTTAAACTCATTTAACCTTCCTAACAATTTTGTGACACATGTCCTGATATTTCATTTGGCAGATGAGGCACTCTCTAGGTTGAACAATTTGTCCAATGATGCACACCTTGTAATTGGCAGAGTTGTTCTGAACTATCAGGCAGAGGGACTCCAGAGCCCCTGCTCTTTTTTTTTTTTGTTCCGGGGATCGAACTCGGGATCTTGGGCTTGCGCAGCAGGCAGTGAAACCACTGAGCTAAATCCCCGGCCCAGCCCCTGCTCTTAATCACTGATCTACACTGTCTCCAGGAAAACATTTGAGTGACTCCTGGTGGATATGTCTTAATACCATAAGAACATAAGAAGGACATTCATTTTAAGACAAAAAACAAAAAACAAACTGCAAGGCAAGGCAGATTGGCAGAAACATAGCTGAAAGGACCCGGTAAAGGACTGTAAAACTGACACTGCAGAGAGGGAAACTCTGGCAAGCCAAACTCTCTCTCTCCCATACACTAGCAAGTGCCAGCCTTGGTTTACACTAAACCATAGTCACTCCCCACTGAAACTGCCTGCTGTTGCTTTTCTGCAGCCCTTGCACCTGTATTTTTAAATAAGTTTTATTTATAAGGCAGTTCCTTCCAATATTGTCTCTATGGTGGTCCTCAAATGAATTGTCTCCCTAGTTCCTCACCTACCAGACACTTCACCTAATAAAAATGCCAATGCCTTTGCCCAGAACACATCTGCAACATCATAAGGCCCCCTTCTCTTCCCACGGGATTAGAGAAGCCCCAGATTCACAGCTGGCAGAGATGATCGAGACGCCCCTGGGATCAAGACCCTCCACAAAAGGTTGCTTAGAGCAGGCAGTGCCCTAAAGCATTTGCCTTTGTGTAAAAGGCCTTTGTTCTTCAAGATCTGATATTTATGTAACTTATTTTCAATTCTGATGTTTTCCTGGCCTAGTGATATGCAGTACAACACCCTCGGGCAACGCTGGGCCACAGCAGGGAGTCTCAGCTCCCAGTCAGCCCCAACACCAGGAGGGTGAAACAACTGAGACCCTGTAGAGTACTGTGTTGCTAAACTATGGGGTTCGATAGGGTAGGTGTAGAAAGTGCATTTTCAAAATAAAATGGGTTTGTTCCATTGTAACTTCATTGTAAGTCAAGGAGAAACTGCACATTATTTCATGGGATTCCCCAGACAACTCTGCAAGAAAGAGATTACAGTCTACATTTGGGAGAGGGGAAATTCAGGCACAGAGAGGTAACATATGAGTCCTGTAGAGTAATGTGCACCTTATTGTATCTACTCTGGAACATGACTTCATCTTCTTCCAGTGAACCAAGTCTTTCCCATTCCCCCCCGATATCATATTACAGACTGAGTAGTTTTTGAAAGGATTTCCTCCTCTATGCTCCGTTGGAACATCAGACAACTAAGATAGTGAGGTACTATAGTAAGCATAACAACGTATTTGCCTCAAAATCTGTGGATTACAACTTTCCAGTGAAGTTTTATGATCATAATGATAGCTGAGATCAGTAGAGCATATACGGAAGCTGGTACCATCCCAAACGGTTAACCAACATTATCTTAGAGAAGGGAGTGGTGGTGCACATCTATAATCTCAGCACACAGGAGGTTGAGGCAGGAGGATCACTGTGAGTTCAAGGCCAGGCTGAACTACATAGCAAGAGCCTGTCTCAAACAAATAAAGTAGACCTTTTTATTTTATTTTTTTTGCTACCGGGGATCGAACTTGGGTCCTTGCGCTTGTGAGGCAGGAAGCGGAACCACTGAGCTAAATCCCTGGCCCTCAACCAAACAAATAAAAACAAACATTGTCTTACTGATTCCTCACAACCACCATAAGAGGTAGGTACTATAATCACTGGCATCACAGAAGAAGGAACAGGCTTAGAGAAGTAAAAGAACTTACTCAGGATCACAAAGCCATTAGGTGATGGAATCTGGATTCAGACTCTAAAAAATTGGTCAGCAGCTCTGAACTGTTTCAGGAGACCACATAGCTCTTCCTAGGGGTAAAGGAGATGGCCATTATGCACATTTTATTCCCCTTAAATTTTATTATGTAATATTTAAATATTGAATATACATATATATATAATATAGTCATGTGATTTATGACAGGTATACATTCTAAGAAATGTATACCTAGATAGTATAGACTACTGTACATCTAGGCTATATGGTATAGCTACTGTGGTATATGTGATCCACTGACATAAATGTCTTTATTTGGGACATGGCTATATATCTATCTCCCACTGTGAGCCAAGCATTAGGGATATAGCAACAGATTCCCCCAGATGGAGTCAGGAGAAAGTCAAGGCAGTGTTAGAAAACCTATGTGTCTGACATTACGCTGGGTCAGCCTGAGAAAAGGGAAGTACAGTATTAAAAAACTCTGCCATAAAATAAACCACATAGAGAGAAGAAAGTCATTTGGCTTAGTTACAAAGAAATGGGTTTGTTTACACAATAAAACATCTAACATTATTTTATAATCACATCTTATAATTACCACAGGCCAAAATAACAAAACAAAACAATACCCCAGCTAGGGTGATAGATTTTGGGTAGCCCCCAGGGCGGAACTCTGGGAGCCAGTCACCCTGTTCAATCAGGCATCTTGGGATGGCTCTGTCCAGCAGAGTTGGGGACACAGCTGAAAACCAGGCAGGGTGGTCGCTGCCCTCCTGGTGCTTGTAGTCAGCTCAGAAGAAGATTCCTGGGCCGGGGATTTAGCTCAGTGACACAGCACCTGCCTGGTAAACGGGAGGTCCTGAGTTCGATCCCTGGTACAAAAAAAAAAAAAAGAGAGATTCCTGCCAAGCTCTAGCTATGTGACCTTGGACAGGGAACTTCTCCTGTCCCTATTCTGTAAAATAAACGGGTTAGTAGAGGAAATCTGCCGCTCAAATTCCGGGCCCAAACAGTATCTCTGATCCCTGTGCCTACAGGAGGGTAGTCGAGGCTTCCCTGCCCTGTGCTACCCCATCCCGGACGGCAGGGGCGCTGTCAGGGCCCGAAAAGGGTTCGCGATCCGAAAGCGCATGTCCCTCGCCGCACGCCGTCGCCCGCGCCACCGTCCGCTGAGCCGAGAAGAGGCGGAGCTGGTGCTGTCCCTACTCCCTAGCAGGGAGGCAGCCGAGGAGGCGGCGCGGCGGGCCCGGGCGGCCGAAGCTCGGGCGAAGCGGCCTGAGAGGCTGGCAGGTGGCGCCGGCAGCGCGTGGAGAGCGGCGCCGTGGGGTGGGCGCACCCGGCTAGAGGCGTTCACTCCATGCGTGCGGGCCGAGCTCGGCCCCAGCGAGCCGCCGACATGAAGAAAGACGTGCGGATCCTGCTAGTGGGAGAACGTGAGTCCGCGCGCCTGGGCCGCCTCAGCCCTGCGCCGACCTCGACCCCGATTCTGACCCTGACCCCAGCCCCGGCGCTCCTCACCTCCGCGCCTCTGCCGCCTTCTCCCCGTGCCCCCGCGCCTCTCAGCCCCTGCACTCTTCTCTTCCGCTGCCCGCCGGTGGCCCTGGCCCGCTCACCTCACCTGGGCCCTCTCGAGAGCTCCCCTTCCTGTCCCCGAGCGCTCCCCGCAAGCCGAGTCCCTTTCAGCCGCGAACACCCGACCCCAGCTGTCTGGAGCTCCTCTCTTTTTCCTCCTGGGCCCCACTGTTTCCCAGGCCGCCTCTTTCCAGACCCTCCTGTCTTCCTTGGAGAGTCCCTTGTCTGTCACTGCCAGGCAGATGCTGGGACTGGCAGGCTGGCCAATTGGGAGTACAGGAACCGGCTCTTGGGAAGCCAGGGGGAGGGGTGCAGAAGTAGTCGACTTGTGGGCAAGGTCAGGTTTCTGGATTTTCTTTTGCGCTTGTAGTCTTAACTCTTTTCTGTGCATTGTCATTAAGATAGAGCGTTGGAATGAGTGTGGATCTCAGTTGTAGAGCGCTTGTTCAGTTTGAGAGAGATCCTGGGTTGGATCCCCAGCACCGCAAGAAAAAGAAAAGTTCAAGATATAGTACCTATGGTTTCCATTGGAGTAACTCCTGGAACCCATGGTATTTCCTCGAAAATATACTCTCAGTATATCCTGGGAGAGTCTTTTAGTTAAGCCAGTGATTGTTACTGGAAAGCCTTTTTTTTTTTTTTTTTTTTTTTTTTTTTTTGGTGACAGGATCTCACTATGTAGTTCAGGCTGGCCTTTAATTCACTGTGTAGCCCAGGTTGGTCTTGAACTCACAGCAGGCCTCCTGCTTCGGCCTCCTGAGTGCTAGGATTACAGGTCTGCGCCACCACGCCTGGCAAAGGCTAATTTTCGTCCCTGTTTTTAACCATTATTTTTTCCATTGCTGATTGGTAATTTATAAATAACGGGCACACGAGACTTCCTACAGATACACATATACAAGATTCCCCCTAGAGATTCTTAGATTTCACCTTTTGAGGATGTAATAAGAAATGGTTGTGCTCAGTGACAGGAGGACTGAACAGCAGAAATTTCTTTTTCTTTTTTGGTATCGGGGATCGAACTTGGGACCTCGCGCTTTGGAAGCAGGCAGCAGAACCACTGAGCTAAATCCCTGGTCCTAACAGAAATTTCTTGATACCATCCTGCAAATTATAAGACTCAGTCATTAGGACTAAAATAAAAAGAAAGTGGGCTAGGAAGGACTTGATTTGCTTTAATGCTCTGCCATTGTTAATTTGCAACATTTTATTCAAAATCACATTTTATTTTTTTAGTAGCCCTTACATCTCTGTCATGCATTCCCAAGAAAATAACAACACATTAGGTCTGTAGTGTTTGTTGATATCTTTGTTCCTCTGCTGTTTGGTGAAATCTACCTTTAAGGTCAGAATTTTAGGTTTTATTTATATCTTATCTGTTTTTGTTGGGGTCCCCCAGTACAGGACCTTCACACTAAGCTCCATCCCCAGCCCTTTTTAAAATTTTTGAAACAGGGTCTCAATTACCCAGACTGGACACAAACTTTCGATACTCCTGCCTCAGCCTCAAAAAGTGTTGGGATTATAGGAGTGTGCCACTATGCCCAGCTTTCCTCTGTATTTTGCATGGACATTCTTTTGTTCTGTTTTATTTGAGATAAGGTGTCACTATATAGTTCAGGCAGGCCTTGAACTCACTATGTAGTCCAGGCTGGCCTTGAATTTGTAGTGATCCTCGTACTTCAGCCTCCAGAGTGCTGTGATTACAGGCATGCGCCACCACATGTGGACACTTTTGATAAAGTTTAGGAATACATATATATATATATAAATAAATTTTTTTTTTGGTACCAGGGATTGAACTTGGGTCCTTGCGCTTGAGAGGCAGGTGGCAGAACCACTAAGCTAAATCCCTGGCCCTTAAGTTTTTGAGGAAGTTGGTTTATTTAAAAGGTAGATAACGAAAATTTTGGGCCATCTACCACCATCTACCATTTTGGGCCATCTAAACATAAGTGTAGGGCTGGGGATTTAGCTCAGTGGTTCCAGCGCCTGCCTCACAAGCACAAGGTCCTGAGTTCAATCCCCGGTACCAAAAAAATAAATAAATAAATAAAAATAAACATAAGTGTAATCAAGGCTATTTGAATACCTAGCTCATCCATGGATTACCTGGACTGTTGATGTTAGAAAATAGTGGTAGTGATTTGTTGCTAGCTTGCACGAATCTAGTTTTTAATTGTTTTAAGATGGTTAAGTGACAGGAATGGAAAAGCAAAGAAAAAGGAGTATCCTCTCTGGTTGTTTTAAAGCTTATTCATTCATTCTCTGACACTTCATTCATTTTACTGCTGTCAGAGTCTGTTCCTGAGCCACACAGCAGCTTCTTTCTCTGAAGTTCTAAAATAGTAGTGAATGGTTTTAATATTCTCTTGGTTAAACCACTCTAACCACTCTACTGTTCAAGTGAAATGGATCTTCTCTTGACCCACTTCTGATCCATCCAGGGTGTTTTAGTTTCTGGGTTTTTAATTTTTTGTTTTGTTTTGTCTTTTTGCACTGTGATTAAACCCAGGGCCTCTCACATGCTAGGCAAGTGCTCTGTGCACCACTAAGCTACATCTCCACCCACTTTTAAAAAATTTTATTTTGGGCCAGGGATTTATCTCAGTGGTTCTGGTGCCTGCCGAGCAAGCGCAAGGTCCCAAGTTTGATCCCCGGTACCAAAAACAAACAAACAAAAACAAAAACAAAAAAATAAATAAATAAAAATTTTATTTTGAGGCAGGAGCTGGCTAAATTACCTGGGCTGGCCTCATACTTGCAATCCTCCTGCCTCAGCATCCTCAGTAGCTGGAATTACTGGCGTGTTTCGCCATGCCCGACCCATTCAGGTGTTAATGCTAATTGCTTAACATATATTTAGTGCTTAGGATAGATCAAAAGTTAGGCTCTCTGTAAATTATAAGGTATTGATTTACAGAGAATGACAGTGTTTTAAATACCTATATCTTAGCTTAGTTGACATAACAAATACCATTCAGACTAATCCATGTCAATTACTATTGGTTTGTTGGTTTGTTTGGTACCAGGGAGTGAACTGAGGACCTCATGCTTGCCAGATAGACGCTGTGCCACTGAGCTACATTACTATTCTTAAGACAAAATTTTTTAAACCTTCAAAAACACGTTCACATAAAACTTAGTTCTTCAGGTCAAAATTTCTCATGGTGGGCCAGGGATTTAGCTCAATGATTCCGGTGCCTGCCTTGCAAGCGCAAGGTCCTGAGTTCAATCCCCAGTAGCAACAACAACAACAAAAATTTTTCATGGTCACATTTGTTGGCTGGAATTTATATTTAACTAGATTTGCTTTAGTATGCTTAACAGACGTCCTTTTTAGAGAAAAATTAGCAAGTCTTATGACCCTTTTATTCAAATCATGTAGTTACTGTAGTAGTTTTATTTTTATTTTTTAAATACATTTTATTTTATCCCATCCCCCTCGTCAAGTAGGGTTTTTTTTGGGTTTTTTTGGTACCGGGGATCAAACTCAGGACCTTGCCCTTGCGAGGCAGGTGGTGGAACCACGGAGCTAAATCCCCAGCCCAAGTAGTTTTATTTTTAATGAAGTCTTTGAAAATTAAGTTGAGATGTATGTGTTTTCTGCTGGTGAAAGTTATTATGAAAATGAAACTCTCACCTAGCTTGCTTATCATACCAAGCTCTGTCAAGCTAGTTCAGCTTCAGTTGGTTGTGGCCTAGACTTTTGCAATACCTTAATTGACATCCCTTCTACTTTTTTCCATTCTCCATGAAGCAGGCAGAGTCATTAAAAAAAAATGTTTATCCTAGTATCCATTTAAAAAATTCTCCAGTAATTTCTAATTTCACACTTTTTTTCTTGAGGAATAAGGTCTTGATGTGTAATCTAGGCTGGCCTTGAATTTGCTATGTAGACCAGGCTGGCCTCAAATTCATGCTCCTCCTGCCTCATCCTCTTGAGTGCTGGGATCACAGGTGTGTGCCACCACATCCTCCTGCTTAATGTCTAAACTTTTAAATGCAGGCCTGCAGGACCCTCCACAGTCTGGGTCTGGCTTCACTCCTGTACTGCTCTCTTTTGCTTTCTTTACAAGAAGGCTGTGACCTGGAGATTATCCCCATTACCAAGTGTATTTGTCCACTTGTTTTTCTACCTCTCTGGCTAGAAAGGAAGGTTCATGAGGGCAGAGGCTTTGTCTCATTTATTATTGCATCCTCAGCAGCTAGAACAGACCTGGCACAAAGTAGGTACTCCAGTATGTGTTCTAAGAATGAATAAGTTTGCTAGTTCAGTTTGCTTAGACTTCCCAGTTTTCCAGACCACTCCTCTGTGTTACAAAAATGAGATCATTTTCCTTTCCTACAACCAGGCTTGTGTGATTATTGTTGGGATCTGAAGGCAGGATTTGTCCATTCTCTTGTTCTGTGTTTTTTTGCTGTTTTGGGCTGTTGTGCCCCTCAATCCCCATTCCTAGGGATTGAACCCAGGGCTTCACAGCTGCTATGGAAGTGCTCTACATCTCCACTGAGTCACATCTTCAGCTTCCCAGCTTTTTTTTTTTTTTTTGTCTTGGAGAGCCCCCTGTTCTGGCAGTAAAGTAGTCCAGTGAGCTGTGATGACAATGTTGTGTCTGTTTAATGTTTAGTCCATGCTTAGAGGTCAACTTCTCCTTGGAACACCAGAGGCCATTTTAGAGGGTGAAGTGGTTGGGGAATAGTTCTTCAGGTATAAGCTAAGTATGAGTGTGAGAGACTTCAAGTATACACTAACATAACTCTAAGGTAATTTTAAAGCCATATTGCTTTCTTCTATTCTGGTCTTTGTTGGAATGGTACTTAAAGATTAAACTGCTCCAAGCCAAGTGTGGGGTGCATACCTGTGATCCCAGGACTTGGGAGGCTGAGGCAGGAAGATGGCAAGTTTGAGTCCTGCCTAGGGAACTTAGCAAGACACTGTCTCAAAATAAAACAAAAAGGGCTAGAGATGTAGCTCAATCCAAGGGCCCTGAGTTTGATCACCAGTACCAGGAAAAAAAGAAAAAGATTAAACTTCTCTAGTTTCAAGTAAACTGTGTTTATACCTAGTATAGCTGGGTGATACTGTATAGCTAAGAATATTTGAACACAGAGAGTCCATTCTGCATAGTCTGTTCTACTCAAGAGTCTTTCATACATTATCCTCAATATGAATTGAAACCTACTCTCTGTCTGTTTTGTTCTTCTGACACCAGCTGACCATTAGTGTTGACCTAGTTTGAAGGATAGGGATAGGTTGTAGCTGTGAGACAGCATTCATCCTGTAGATCACATCATCAACATATGGCCAATGAAATCTTCCTTTGGAACAATGTAGTTATTTCTCCAAATTCTAACATGACCAGTAAAAATATAACTCCATAGCCCCCCCCCCACCATGTATTAAAGTTACTTTAGACGTAAAGAAACATAAAATGAGGATTGGGTCTCTTTG